TTTTTTTGCGTAGAATTGATTTCTGAAATAAAAAAGTAGGGGTGCCATTTGAAAAGTTCGACTTACGGGTGGGGCACCCCCCGCCCCGCGCCCCTCCCGCGGTTTGGGAAAATGTCGAATACGCCAAAAGGTGCCCCCCTCGATATAAACGAACACGTCTTTTACCGTTTTTCGAAATTCCGACGCGTTCGGCAGATATTCAAGGTGGCTCGTTTTTCGTGAGACACCCTGTATGTGCGTATTAGAAACTTGAACAGGCTGATGAGAAGCCGGCCTAGGCACCGGGACCCAAAACTAGCGCTAAAACAGCTCTAAAAACTTCCGAGCCAAGAATGATCTGGTGCCAATCTCGATGGGGTGGTCATATCTCAGGCAGTGTAGGTGACGTAAGAGCAAGGACTCTCGCTGATTGGGGGGGGAGAGAGGGAGAGAGAGAGAGTTGGATATCTAGAGGCCAATGATGTAATGTGAAATGAATGAGATAGGAAAGAATGCGACTATGTATATGACTATGGATTGGGACAGGGGCAGGCGGGGTACACAATATTACTTTCAATGATTATTTGAGCAGATCACGAAATAAGTGACACATAATAAGTACACATAATACAAACAAAACAGTACACATAGTAGGGACATACAATTTTTATAACGCTGCGCTGCTACCACAGTCGGGGAGGATAGGTAGTTAGGTATACCTCCTAATTGGTTAGGTATGCATAACCATTTAGGAGGAATCTTTGCGGGAAAGGAGGAATTTTTAGTGTATTTTCCGAAGAAAATACACTATTGCATTCTCCCATGATGTCGGACCCAGACCCGAGACCTTGTGGAGAGCACCGATCACGGGTCGTAGATCACGAAAATATATGCCATTCAAATTCACACACACACACATATATATATATATATATCCATACAAAAATATTAGTGACCGATACCTCGTAAAAACTGCATTTTATGTATGTATGTATATATGTATGTATATAAGTCTAATTTCATGGTTATTTTATGTATAATAAAGCGAACTTCATGAGTTGTATAACCGTAACTTTTTATTTATTTTAAACAAAACAAAGGATTTGGATTATCGCTAGTAACAACAAATAAGTGTAATTTGAAAGGGTTTAAATCAGCTCTAAAAACCAAAATCCCAAACGAGAAAATGTCCGACGTGGTTTATGAAATCCCATGCAAAGGGTGCCCAGGGGTCTACATTGAGCAGACTTCACAGTATGTACATAAGCGCCTTGACGGACACAAGTTTAATAAGCATGAAAAAACGGCACTTAAGCAGCATGTAAAAGAAACAAACCATCAATTTGATTATGATAACACCAGAGTGCTAAAACAAGAGAAAAATGAGCAGGTCCGTTTAAATTTAGAAGGGTTAAGCATTCTTAAAAATAGCAACGCCCTGAATTCAAGGACAGAATTTTCCCATTTTGAGGATTATTTGGTAGGTACCGATACTTTCTAATTGTTGACCATCAAAGTTTATTAATAGCTGTAACTCAGGCAACAATGTTTGTAATGTTCGTTAGATTGTAACTATCTTTTCCTCTCTTCACTGACTGTGTTGGATCGGAGGACTAGGTGTTTATTTCTTGGGTTTCCTTGTTTTGTCGCCTCAGTCTCTGCCTGATGATGGTGGGAATAATAAGCCACCGAAACGTCGCATTGTAAAAAATTTTTTGTTTAAAATAAATAAAAAGTTACGGTTATACAACTCATGAAGTTCGCTTTATTATGTATGTATATATGTATGTATTTCCGCCCTTTTGGGATTTTTCGATTTTTGAGTAGTTATATCATTCTTACATTGAAAGATATTTTGACCAATTTTTTTGCATTTAGTAGAGACTCATTAGAACTACTATTCTGCGAAAAAAAATTTGAAATTGGAGGCAATAGATTTTGAGGGGTGGGGCTCGAAAGTGGGGGGAGGTCAAATGGACTGCATTTTGCAATTTGGAATTATAAATTCTTGCTCATCTTAAAAAACACTTATGTGCATAGGGAAACTAAAGGCACATACGTTGTTTTTGAACCGGGCCAGAATTTATAGTTCCAAATTGCAAAATGCAGTCCAAATCTTGTCCACTCGATAACTCAAGCGAGAATGAATATTTTGAGCTGAAATTTTTATGGGTGATAGTTCTCCCTTAGGACTGGTTTGGTATTGAATTTGAGCCAAATCGGCCGAGCCGTTTAAAAATGGCGAGCTTTGAAAGTTATAGGCGAGGGGTGCGCGGCATGAGGGGAGCCGGCCGGAGCAGGGCCGCACAGTGGGTCGGGGGAGAAAGTTTTTGGACAAGCTGATCGTCGCACAGTGGGTCAGGGGGAAGAAGTTTTTGAACAAGCCTTTCGTCGTTCAGTGGTTCAGGGGAAGGAAGATTTTGGACAAACTGCGCGTCGCACAGTGGGTCAGGTGAAGAAAGTTTTTGGACGAACTGTTCGTCGCACAGCGGCCCAAGGGAAGGAAATATCTGAAAAAAACTATCCATTACACAATGACTAACAGACGTACGATTTTATGACTACAAAAATCCCACTTCGGGAAATACACTTTCTTCCCGCGGTGGATGCGCGGGACACTTAAAAAGAAGAAAAGCTAGATGCGCAGGTAACCCTGAAAAGACGCGCGCGATGCGCGCGTCCTGGGGGGCTTGGGGGGGGGCAAAGCCCCCCAAAAGCCGGCGCGGAGCGAAGCGGAGCGCCGGTTTTTTTATTTTCAATCTTATGATATAATACTTAGTGAGGAAATAACATGTTTTTTCAGCCTGGAGTCATACGTTCATCAGAGATCTATCGATACATCAAAGTTGTTGCGCAAGGGGTGTTCGTGCGGCCGCTGAAAGTTTGCGCACTTTTTCGTAAAGATAACGTTTGTATGCAATATCGCGAATATAATTTGTACACAAATTAAAATGATTACGTTTGCACACAAATCAACATTTACGGCAGCGTTGTGCCGTACGGTACGGAAGGCCAGACGAAGTAGAGTGCAATGGGACTACCTTTTGGAATTCAGAATTACAATTTCGGGATCATCCGTAGAAACACGTATAGGCCCATAGGAAAACTACTGCTGTAACACAATTCGGCCGGACCAATGGGGGAATTAACTACTTATTTGTTTCTCCATAAAAAACACGAATTTTATATAGGTAGGCCTTTCTTGGCTATTGTGAAGATAACTTACATGAAATTGGGACAGAATCCGATTTGTCTCATTTATTCAGAAAGGGAATATGATCATTTTGTGGACCCATGAAAATTCGGAAGCAACCCGCCACCTCGCTGTATTTATGATTAATCAAGTTTTGTATGTTCTAGATCTCAAACTCTGCTATGCTTGGCCGTGAGAAGAACCTTACTACTTCGCTCGAAATTCCACATGCTTTTTCTTTGTTCACCCCTGTCTCTTCTACCCGGTCTTGTGCATCTGCTCACATTCCAGCTGACTACTGCGTTTGCCATGATACGATCCGCAATTTACCGAACAATGACCCTCATGCTCACATAGCTGCCTCTGTAACAGTTGCCCACCTCAACTCTATTCTCTCAAACAGTTCCCTTTGTGCAAAACTCCACTTGTACAGAGTGCGCAATGTTCAGGTGGAGAGGAGCTTAAACATGACAGTTGCCATCTCTAGTCCCCTTGAGTTCTGGTCTGTTTCTTTGGAGACGATACCCGGCAACGGAATGTTTGAGTCAACATTGCGACGGCGTGGAGAAGAAGACTTTGAGGTTATAGGCACTGTGAGTAGAACTAATTTATACCGTGGTCAAAGTGAGTGCATCAGTGACTATCACTTACGGCTGTATTGTTATTGTATTTGAGAACCGGAAGAAAAAGGCATGCTGTCGAGAAGTCACGCCTTTTTTATGTTTAATTCTCTTGCAAATCTGGTGAAGAGTTTTCAGCTTGCGCTCCATTTGCAGAAAACTTCTATTTTGCTGCTACGATGCAAAACATTTGTAATGAGTTTAACAAAGACGCAAGTTCGGTGGTCATTGCAGTGACCATCGAATTTGCCTTCAAGTCATCTACATTTTTTACAAAGGCTTCTGAAAATTTATTTTGAAGGGATGGAAAGTACCTATCAGTACCACAAAACTTCAAGAGACACCAATGGTCTACATCTAGAAGAACGATTAAAAATCAAGGAAAATTGGATAAAAATGTCATTTTGCTTCACAGGTGCGGTTTAGTAACCAGTTGTATCAGACCAGGGTAGATTTTTTCTGTTAAGAAAAAAAAAAAAAAAAAAAAAAATTCTCTCTTGGATGTAGGGACTTACAATATCTGCACCTGATTTGCCATATATTGGACTGATAATATGCATGTATAGGTAGGCATAACAAAGTTTAACTTTCATCAAAAATCGATGGCCCGCCTTCACTGGAGAGGGAATTCTTGTCTGAAGGGGGGAAACATTTGTTTAGATGTTGATCAGCAACGAATGAAGGCATGATATTTTTTATTGTGGACATCCCTGTTGCTCTATGAATGTCATTTGATGATTTCACGCCAATTTTTGAAGTTTATATAGTTTTGCCACTTCATGTTCCTTTCAAGCTTCAGCTATATGGACACACGATTGAAATTCACTTTCTTCTTGTGGAGCCTCACCACATGAATGCCGGTGTTAGTACTTCAGAAAATAGAATTATTGCAGTTCGAGACAATTTTAATCAAGCAATGACCTATAATGAGTGTCAGTGACTAAGAAAGGCTCTCGGCTCCACTGCCAAACTAATATTGATGGAAATATAGGGATGCATTATCTGTAATAACAGATTCTTTCCATTAGCGAAGTACCGATTCTTCATTGTAAAACCAGTATTTTGTTTCTTTTGCCATGACAAAATCAAAATTCTGATTAATTATGAGTTACCAATGTGCTGTTTGATATTTTTTTCAAATCTAATGCTAATCCAAAGTACCCACTGCTGGTGGTGTGTTTTTCTCTTTTTACATACTGATTGTTAGAACAGTCCTCTCCTCGAGCTTTTTACCAAATTGAGTAAAACTATACATAACCTAAGTTAAATATTTTTAACTTAGAGGACGTTTCTGGGTCAGGAGAAGCTGCTCTTCGGCCGCCATGAAATTTTCCGGGGAGCCCCCTTCGGGAGCAACACACCCAACTTATTTTTTCAAGTGGAAAGACCCCCCACCCTCCCCCTTGTAATACCTCTGTAGAAAGAACATAAATTAAATAAAAAACTTCGCTCTAACCTGGAGCCATCATCTCAAACCGTTTCAGAATAACGACCGGTTGAAGTTTAAAATTGTAGCCCTGGTTCTTTGCAGACAGATTTGCCTGAAACTCGGTAGCTGGCATGAGAGAAACGAATTTGACGTTAGATTCTTTAAAAGTAAGAGTTTTTTGAAACGGCGGCCGCTAAAGTTCAAAGTGGCCGAGAATTGTTTTGTTTTAAAAAAAAAAAAAAAAAAAAAAAAAAAAAAAAAAAAAAAAAAAAAAAAAAATGTCAGATTCCTTTTTACCGCGCCCAAGTACCCCTGGATTCCGAATTGCAGCCAAATCCATCGGAAAAAATCAAAAAGCAAAATTTCGGCAATTTTGACGTTCTAGCGACCGCCATTTTGAAATGGTCTGAGACATTTTATGTTTTTTCAACCGAGACATCTCCCAAGTTTCAAATCTTGGCCGACATTAGGTACAAAGTTAGAGGGAGCAGGGGATTTTCCTAACACCGTGTGGATTGTTCACAGTATAATGCTATGATCTTGAATTTGTTTTCATATTTTGTCGAATGTTTTTTGAGTTTTAATAAAATAAATGTTATTCACACACATGAAATTCTTATTCCAAGTTCATTTCCCTTCCAACTTGCGAACCAACATAAGTAGGATGCTACAGTGAACCCCATTTAAAGGAAAAGAGAGCAGTACACATAACTTAAGTTGAGGAAGTGGACTACATCTTGTGTTGATTCAATGGAAAACTTGATTTTAAAAATAGAACAGATATAACATGAAAATAGAATTTTATTTGCAGTGAATAAATTAATTTCTACAAAAACAATGGAAACAATACATTTTATGCACAAAATTAAAAAATTGAACAATAGAATGATATTGATGGCAGGAATGCAAAACCTCCAGACTCAGAAGAGAGGATATGCAAATTCTGACTTCAGAGATGAGCGAATACTAATTTGATTTGTTACTGCTGTGCATATTTTAATGGGCTCCAAGAACTGCTCCATACTATCTTATGGCTATTCCTTTAAAAGAGAGGTATAGCACAGTTTCGATTGTCCTTGATACAACAATTCCTGATTCCGGATTATCAGCAATGTTTTTGAGGAACTATTTTTTTCGTTCCTCATTATTTTATCCCAAGGTACCGATTGCTAACAAGTTTAAGGAAGTTTAAGGTCAAACTGATGAGCAATTGACAAATCTCTGGTAAAAGCTTATGCATTTGACCCCTTTCACATGTGCAGGTCTCTGCTGCTACCTGGGTGTGAGAAAAAAGGGGAAAAGTGTGAATTGAGAAAAAAGGTGAAAAGTGTGAATTGAGGAAAACCTTTGCGAGTGCGGAAAAGTGAAAGTGGTTGTTTGCGGTCTGCCTTTGCAATCCTTTTCATTCATTTTAAGTATCAACTCATCCTCTGTACCGGCCAGTACCAGATTCATGTTTAAAAAAATTACGCACTTTAAGTGCAATTCGGTTTTTACAATTTTTATCTTGTTTTTTGATGAGTCCAGTTTAAGTGTTGTGAACGTTTAAATGTCACTAAACATGAGTGAAAAGAGAAAAAGAATTGTCATCGATTTGCAGTCCCAGACCGTGAGCACACCAGCCGAGTTAATGCTTCTCATGCACAAGGAAAAGGTTGCAACTTAAAAACGCAGTGAATCAATGGCACAAACCTCAATTAAAGATTTCTTCTGAAATTGATGTTTTAAGGGCATGTAATTCTTTTAGGTTAATCTCATGCAGCCCCTGCTCTACCCTGCGGAATTACCGAAAAGAGCTGTTACGCTGTTATTGGAAGAATTCACAACTTTATCAAGTAATATACGAAAACCTGGGTCCCATTCATAAAATCTTAATAGAGTGGGCTCATCTAAAGACTAGCTTTTGTCGGTAGCGGCAAAAATCATTAGAACGATACAACGAACTATTATCAAAAATGAAAATTTAGGGGGTTATAGATAGAGAAAACGGTTAGAAAGGAAAGATAGGATTGGCTGAGAGAAGGCATGTTGCATGCAGACGGGTGATAGATCCTTTACACAGCATGTGCTGTTAAAAAAATCACAATGCATTACATAGTTTAACAAGGGCAGAAAATGACTATAAAAGCGCCTTGCTTGTAGCAAATGCTAAGAATGACAAAAAAAATCATAAAATAATTACACTTATCAAATTAAAACTTAAAAAATGAAACAGAAACTAAAAGCTTTACACTTGAATGAAGAAACAGATGTAATCATAGTCTGCTGAGAATCGGTGCTGTGCAGTTTAGGGCCATTCATTTTCCTTTTCTTCTATTTTTCTCTTTTCTATTGCTTGATTACCAATAATCTGGAGAACACGTGTTCAGTTGAACCTTGATTCCGGCAGGATGATATTTTGGTTAAGAATTGTAAAAACCCAAGACTTTTCCGGAATTAGGATCAGTGAGGAAAGTTCTTATTAGGATGTGCTTCGAAGTAATGATTTTGTCATCTATGTTTTCATTGACTTCAGATCAGCGGCATAAAATAATGTGAAAGAACTATGCTACTGTCTTACCTAGTCTAGTTTCCAGAAAAAAATACCCAATCTTTGTAAAGTTGTTATAGTTTCCTTTTCTTCAAAATTCATAAAACTACCAGAAATGAGTGCACTGACGCGATGAAGTACTGTCACCTGAAATATTGATGTAATCTTCCTACTTCAAACTTCGGAAAAAACACCTTGATTTTTGCTGTAAACTACACAAGAAGGGGTCGAACACAATAGAAATGAATGTGATCAAATTGGTAAGCCTCACTGAGAAGTAATTATCGGGCAAGACCCTGTAAATATAATCAAAACTTTGGTCAGAGTATGGTCAGAGTGGGTCAAACAGTTATCAGCTGACCCGAGCACCAAGGGCATGGATGAAAATTAGCAGCCGGTTGGTTGAGTGATGTTGTTCCAATATCCGAGAGAAGTCTCATTATTTGCTCTGCATCAATCTCTTCCCCATGGATGGTGGGCTCTGTAAAATAGAATTTAGTGAAGAAAAACATAAATATCCACTTAGAATAGCTCCCTCAAAGTATCTTGAGGAGCTTGGATGCTTCAGATGACTTGAAAACAATGCTTCTCTTGCAAATTCAGCTGGAATCTAAATACATTGAAACAAAAAGTGTGTTTCTGTTGGAGTTCGTTAGCAGAGTGGAGCGATGCAACTGTTGGGTTGAGGATCAGCCCCCCCCCCCCNCCCCACTGCCTTCAACGGGTGAAGCCTTTGCTGCTTCGCCATCTCCATCCAACACTCGACCGTTTTCATTCCATTCCACACTTCCTCCATGAGTTCAGTCTCTCTTTCTGTCTCAGTCCCAGTTATTTGTTGCGTTCGGCTACTGTCAGTCCATGACACTTGCTATGTTGGCTCGCCTAGAGTCAGTTTCTACGCTTCATACGCTCATGCTTTCACGCCATCCACGGGTGCTTACGTCAACATTGTTTTCCTCCCCATCCCCATTTTTCAGTAGTCTATTAACCATCCTTTTTCCCACATTTCTGCAAACCAACAGTTCTCAAGTTTAGCCTTTTTCATCGGTTCTTTTCTTGATTTCCTTCTGATTATTCTTCTTCTTCTTTCTATTATTCCTTTTTTTAAACTAAAATTTTCCTGGTATTCCCTGACATTTCGATTACATTTGTTTCTTTGACAAAATTAAAAGAAAAGCAAAATGCCTGGTACGTGTATTTCATAAAAAAATCATTGTATTCTGGAGGGTGAAAAATTCATCCTCCTCTGAGAGAGGAAAAGTTTGTGGTCCCGAATGAACGGAAACCGAAAAGAGGATACAGAGAGAGTGGCGGAGTGGGATTTGTGGTCGAGTAGCCGCTTATATTAATATCCATGGTGCCAGGGTGGTACTCGCAAGCATTTGGCCGTTGGCAGTCGTCCATTCGCGCAGTCCATACTTAATGAAACAAATATTTTAATTCTTTTCTTTTCTTCATTGCAGCAATTCGACTTCGACGAGTATTACTTCCCTGCCTGTTGGATGTCTTACTTTTTTGAATTGAACACCTCTTACGTTCTCTCTAACACTTGCTGAATTGTCATTTTCCGACCCTTTCTAAATCCTGTAATTCTTATACCTAAATCCCTTCCGTTTCCCTACTCCCTCTACAATCCTTTCTTTCTAAATTACTCCTTCATTCGCCAACTTTTGCCCCTTTTCCCTTAGAATGTCATTTTACTAACTTTTCTAATCCTTCTTCCGAAATCCCTTCTGCCTCCCTAACTTTCCTTAAATCCTAGAAAAAAAATAAATAAATAATAATAATCTAATAAATGCAATTATACGCGGTCCGCCGTAACCTTGAACTTCTCGGCCCCGTCCCACGCCCCTGAGGATGGATCGGCGGGACCCCTGCGGCCGGGTCTCCGGTCCCCCGCCGGGTTTTCCGGTCCGACCCTCCGGAGAGTTGCTGCAGCCCCTAGGAGTTTTCTCGGGAAAACCGCCGCCGCTTGCGCCCCGTTCGTCCTTCCAGCTCGGGATTCGGCACGCGGGTGCCTTCGGGCGACCGGAGCTTAAGTTCCGAGAATTACCGACTCCGACCTTTCCGGAGGGGCGCTTCGCCCCGAAAGGCCGTTTCTTACGACCCCCGCACGGAGTGCCCCACTTCTTACCTTCCCATTCGTCCCCCGGGCTCCAGGTTCCGTCTGCGGGTCGGCGACGTTCGGTCGGGACGGATTTCGCAATCCCTTCATCCGGGGGTGCGCTGTGTACTTAGCGCGTTTAGAGTATTATCCCTGATCCTTTTGTAAGTATTATTTCTAGTTTTTCTAAGAGAGTACATACGAGGGTCGTTCAGAAAGTGAGTTTCCCTATTTTTTTTCTCAAGAATTATCAAAGCTACAAAAATTATAAATATATGGCTGAAAAGCTTATACTCTCAGCTTTCTAACCGTATACAGGTTTTTGTTTTTTAACCAACCAATCGCTCAGAAATTGCATTTTTCTGCGACCACCTCGAAGAATTTCCCGCCACCGCCGAGGTGCATGAGAATTGCATTGAAAAACAAAAGAAAAAGGACCACGAGCAAAATTGTAAAAGTTATTAAGCACAGCACAAACCTCTTAGCTTTTTCCGACGTAGTTTCCTCTCACTGTGATACATTTTTCACACCTTGGTATCAGTTTCCTGATGCCTTCACGGTAGAAGTCCTTTGGCTGTTGTTTGAAAAATCCCAGGACAGTTTCTTGGAGTTCCTCATCTGTGTCGAACTTGACACCACCTAGGAACTTCTTCAGAGCTGGGAAAGGATGGTAGTCAGTAGGAGCTAGATCAGGACTATACACTGGATGAGGAAGGCAAGTCCAACCGAACTTTTCGATAAACTCAACAGTATCGGCCGCTGTATGTGGTCGCGCATTATCGTGGAGCAAAAGCACTCCTTGGGTAAGCTTGCCCCGCCGACGGTTCTGTATGGCTCTTCTCAGCTTTGTGAGGGTTTCTTTGTACCATATTGCGTTGATGGTAGTACCTCTTTCCAGAAAATCCACCAGGAGGATGTCTTCACTGTCCCAAAAGACCGTGGCCATGATCTTCCGTTGAGAAAAAGTGCGCTTAACTGCTGCAAGCAGGAGGCGGCGGGAAATTCTTCGAGGTGGTCGCGAAAAAATGCAATTTCTGAGCGATTGGTTGGTCAAAAAACAAAAACCAATATACCGTTAGAAAGCTAAGGGTATAAGCTTTTCAGCCATATATTTACTATTTTTGTAGCTTCAAAGTGGAAGAAGTACAAAGAAAGAGCCCTCTTTAAGGCTCCTGAAAAGTGCTTTGACGCTGTTTTTAAACCTTTATATTGTACGCACGTATAGTTTAGGTACATATAAACTTTATATTAGCCCGGCAGACGAATTCAAGTTCATACGGCTGATCGGCAGACCCCAAAAATGGCTCTTAGATGCTATAAAATCGAACGGAAGAGCCACTTTTCGGCTCCTGAAAAGTACTCTAACGTTCTTCCCTAACCTTCATACGGTGTATACGTATAGTGCGGGTACACGTGAACTTAGTTTTAGCCCGGCAGACGATTTCCAGTTCATGCGACCGATCGGCAGACCCCAAAATGGCTCTGAAAGCAATGAAAATTTAACGTGAAAATACTGGCCTGAACGATCCTTCTAGGGAGCCGTAAAAGTTCTATTACCTTGTTCTGGTACTTTTATCATGTAAAACTGAAAAATACGGATAAAATTAAAGGTGAGTAGATTATGAGATACCCCTTTTGCGGCAGATAAGGGTAAGGCCGTGTAGCCGATCGGTGAGACTCTGAATTCGCTTTTAAGAGCTTAAAATAAATGCGCCAAAAACTTGTCGTTGGGGCACACTCACTTTGCAGCCTTTTGAAGGTATTTCTAAGTCTTATAACCATTATTATCGAAGACTGTTTAATAACATGGATAGTAATTTTTTTTCTTTTTTTTTTCTTTTAAAGGTTTTATTAAGATAGTTTTACAAAACTATCTATACATAAAATATACAAATTCAAGAAAATATCTTAATTACAGTGTTCAGTCTTATAGAGATTATATACTGATAGAAACAACAGCATTAGAGTCGAGATGTCAATGGACATTAAAATTAATGGAACAGCTTATCAGAATAGATAAAGAAAGAGGAATTGATACTTCAATGGGGCTTCAACTTTGGTAAAAACCCTAAAAATATATGTAACATGAAAAACATGCATAAGTACATTTCATTGAAAAAAATAAGAAAACATTGGTCTTAACAGAGATTAAATATTAGGAGAACACTGTTTTTGCCAGCATAAATCAAATTATAGGTGAATATTAGCCGTATCTTCATTTTTATTGCCCACAATCGGTTGCATGGAATGACATATATGTAACTTGTCATTTTCGCTGCCAGAGTTAGTTGCACAAGATTACAAATATGTTATTCGGTTTTAAATTAATTTATTAAAAACCCATTTTGCATCTAATATTTCCTTTTGTCACCTAAAAAAAGTATGACGTGTGCTGCACATGCACATATTTTTTTCAACGTCATTCGAGCACTCGTACCAACCCAAATCCTGCGCCGAAAATGCGTTGCCGGACTCGCCGATCTACGCAGCCCAGGGTTGCCCGAAAAACACGTTTTTTAACCTAATTTTGTAACATTGGAGTGGGCTCCGTCATTTTTATCCAATAGAAAATAACCTTGGGCTTGCATACATGCATTCAGATACATTTTTGCGCTTGTACAGAATTTTTAAAAAAAAAATACGTTAAATTACATATATGTGTATGCATGCAATAGAGGGTTAAAGGAAATATCAGGTGTGACAAAAATGAGGAGAGCCAAATTCTTTGCGCTCCTTTGTTTTTCCTTGGAACTCATCATTTGGTTCCAGGAGTGATTTTAGTCGATGAGAGACTTGATGAGTAGCGCAGTAGCCTAACGGTTAAAGTTACTGGGTTCTGAACTCCTCTCCGGAGTTCGATCCTCAGTTGAGGTTGATAATTTTACTATAGGTTGCAATTTTTTTATGGTGTAAAGCGGTTATAGTGCCCGCTAGGAGCAAACGAGGAAAGGAAGGAATAATTTTTTCTCTTTTTTTCCTCTGGTATCCCATTGAGAAAATCTTATTAAATTATCTGAAAATTTCAATTTCTGCTGTTCGGCCACATGAAGTCGAAATTGTCTACCAGGCTAGAATTAAGTTCACATGTACCCATACTATACATATACACAATATAAAGGTTAGGGAAGAACGTTAGAGTACTTTTCTACTTCTTAATAAAACCTTTAAAAGAAAAAAAAAAGAAAAAAAATTACTATCCATGTTATTAAACAGTCTTCGATAATAATGGTTATAAGACTTAGAAATACCTTCAAAAGGCTGCAAAGTGAGTGTGCCCCAACGACAAGTTTTTGGCGCATTTATTTTAAGCTCTTAAAAGCGAATTCAGAGTCTCACCGATCGGCTACACGGCCTTACCCTTATCTGCCGCAAAAGGGGTATCTCATAATCTACTCACCTTTAATTTTATCCGTATTTTTCAGTTTTACATGATAAAAGTACCAGAACAAGGTAATAGAACTTTTACGGCTCCCTAGAAGGATCGTTCAGGCCAGTATTTTCACGTTAAATTTTCATTGCTTTCAGAGCCATTTTGGGGTCTGCCGATCGGTCGCATGAACTGGAAATCGTCTGCCGGGCTAAAACTAAGTTCACGTGTACCCGCACTATACGTATACACCGTATGAAGGTTAGGGAAGAACGTTAGAGTACTTTTCAGGAGCCGAAAAGTGGCTCTTCCGTTCGATTTTATCGCATTTTTGGGGTCTGCCGATCGGTTGCATGAACTTGAAATCGTCTGCCGGGCTAAAACTAAGTTTATATGCACCTATACTATACGTATACACAATATAAAGGTTAGGGAAGAACGTTAGAGTACTTTTCAGGAGCCATAAAGTGGCTCTTTCTTTCGATTTTATAGCATCTAAGAGCCATTTTTGGGGTCTGCCGATCAGCCGTATGAACTTGAATTCTTCTGCCGGGCTAATATAAAGTTTATATGTACCCAAACTATACGTGCGTACAATATAAAGGTTTAAAAACAGCGTCAAAGCACTTTCCAGGAGCCTTAAAGAGGGCTCTTTCTTTCGATTTTATTGCACGGGGAAGCCGGTTTTGGAGTCTGCTGATCAGCCGTATGAACTCGAATTCGTCTGCTGGGCTAAAACGAAGTTTATGTGTACCCAAACTATTCGTGTGTTTAATATGAAGGTTAGGGAACAACGTCAAAGCTCTTTCCAGGAGCCGAAAAGTGGCTCTACCGAGCGATTTCATCGCACGCTTTTTTCCGTTTTTGGGGGGGCGCAGCAGCCAGACGCACCACTTTTGAGGTGTGATATTGCCCAATCCCTTACTACGGAGGTCAGAACTATGTCCCTGCCAAGTTTCAAGCGTGCCGGAGTAGTGGCGCCAAAAATGCAGCTGGCTCTTAGACTATGACAGGTGGGATGAAATTAAGGCCCACTGCTCTATTCCAAAAAATTAATTTTTGTACATGCTTAAAGTCTGCTTTTCAGTTTGAGGAAGAATATTATCAACAGGTTCAAGGTTTGGCGATGGGAGGTGGGCTAAATTTGCTACGATGGGCAAACAAAACAGTTTATATGCAGAAGGATTGCGGGTCATGAGTATATTCGCCAGGAAAAAACACCTTTATATCATTACGAAGACATTCTTGATCATTACTTTGATTTTGAAAATCCTAAAGTGTTGGGGGTTGAACCTAGAGACTTCGCCAGGGGTGTGTTAAAATGATTCATATTGTGAAAGATAGAGACAAATTATGCAACTTCCGAGCAGACGTGGAAGTTTTAGGGGCTGCGTATCACCAAGTTTTTCAATTAAGTGGCCTCAGTAAGTGCGCGTCTGTCATCTGTTCGTATTTTGCGGGCAGATGTGTAGGAACAGGGTCTACTTCCCCATCTTCCACATTGGTTGGTGTGCAGGCGGCCACTATGTCTGCCTTGGATGTTCGGTACTGTATTCCAGTAGTTACATGATAACGGCTGGGGTCAGGTCGCCACTCAATTTTTTATTTATTTATTTGTTTGCGTTTTTTGCAGCTGAAAATGAGCTGGTAACAGCTCGAAACGACCTGCCTTTTAGTGTTCTTGATGTTTTAGCCTTGTTTACCCATGTTTTAATTCCCTCCTTATTTATCAATTAAATAAATCAACAAAATTTTCCATTGATTATTAAATCCCAAATTTGGCTTACCAAGGGAACTGGATGGAATAACAGCTGCCGATGCTTGCTTAGAGATGAGGTTTTTAATAAGCTCTGTCAGTTCTGCTAACTTATTTCGCAAATTTTCCTTATCCTGGGCCAATTTGACAACTTGTTGATCCTTCTCTTTAGCTTTCTCTTGCAGGGCACCTCTCTGTATTTGATATAAGGCTACATACTCCCCTTAAAAAGAAAATCATAATAATATTACCTGTCTTGACTGGAAATACAATAAAAAACATCTTGAAGACAGAATTTTTCCTCCATGTTTTATAATTTTTATTTGATGGTCATGTTTATTCAAAACTTTTCTGAGGTTTTTCCCTGAACTTTAGTCTGGTTACATTCATGAGAAGTTCAAAATTTGTTAATCAAGAAAATGGAAGGTTATTTTATGTACACAAGTTTTATGTATATGGACTACAGACGCAACTCTTTTGGCTTCCCTTTAAAAAAATAATTTAAAAAGCGGGTAACAAGGCTGAAATTTCACGAATAAAACCAAAACGTTTCGGCTGAAAACGCAGCCTTCCTCAGATGGATAAAATGGTAAGAAGAAAAATAGTAAAAATCTAAAATAAAAGAAATGTTCACGAGAATGTTCTCGAAGAGAACATTTTCACTTTGAAAGGTAGGTACAGCCAGGTACTATTTTAGATTTTTACCATTTTCCTTTTTAAATTATGTGAGTTTTCCATATTACCAGGTTTGATAAAGGTTATTACCTGATTTATTTTTTCGTCCTGGTTATCTTAATTGATTCTTCTATTTAAGTAGCGATGTACATTTCGGAACACCTTACTCCATCTTCAAGCCACACATATTTCACTAGCACTATAATCCTTGTGCGCGTTCGAGTTTCGAGATACTTTAAAATGTTAAAAACCGGAAAATAATAATAAAAAAAAAAAACTACACGTAGACTAAAATTGACTGTGAACTGCACAAGGCTCGACCGATTTATTGATTACGTGATCTTTCTTCCTCGGCTCTTGTCCACGGGGCTAAGGAACGTGGCATTATCAGAGGTGTTACTATCGTCTCAATTTGGGTGTTAAGGATGTTGCCGGATGTTTTCGCACGCTCGATTTCCATTTGTTCTGACAAAGTCATTTTTTTGCCCTTTTTACATGTATGGATCACATTAATTTTGCATTTTTTGGATTCATGATTTTGTTCTATGAGATGGTCGCTGAGCGAGGAGTGTCCTGTTTTTTGAGGCGTGCGTGGGCAAAGTGTTCGTTGGTGCGGGTATTTATAGTACGCCCTGTTTGCCCAATGTAATATTTCCCACATTTGCAGCTGACTTTGTAAATCCCACTGGTATTTAATTTATCTGTATGGGTCTTTTTCTGTTCTTTTTTTTTCTGTTTTTTCTGGTCTTTAACTGTTGCCATACCCTTCTGCCAAGGAATATCAGAACAAGCAAAAAAGATAATCCGGAAAGAACACAAAACCACTAATGTGACCTACCACAACAACCAAAATTTAGGACGTCAACTCATCAACATGAAAAAGACCCATCCAGATAAATTAAATACCAGTGGTATTTACAAAGTCAGCTGCAAATGTGGGAAATATTACATTGGGCAAACAGGGCATATTATAAATACCCGCACCAACGAACACTTTGCCCACGCACGCCTCAAAAAACAGGACACTCCTCGCTCAGCGACCATCTCATAGAACAAAATCATGAATCCAAAAAATGCTAAATTGATGTGATCCATACATGTAAAAAGGGCAAAAAAATGAACTTGTTGGAACAAATGGAAATCGAGCGCGCGAAAACATCCGGCAACATCCTCAACACCCAAATTGAGACGATAGTAACACCTCTGATAATGCCACGTTCCTTAGCCCCGTGGACAAGAGCCGAGGAAGAAGGATCACGTAATCAATAAATCGGTCGCGCCTTGTGCAGTTCACAGTCAATTTTAGTCTACGTGTAGTTTTTTTTTTTATTATTTTCTGGTTTTTAACATTTTACAGTATCTCGAAACTCGAACGCGCACAAGGATTATAGTGCTAGTGAAATATGTGTGGCCTGAAGATGGAATAAGGTGTTCCGAAATGTACATCGCTACTTGAATAGAAGAATCAATTAAGATAACCAGGACGAAAAAATAAATCAGGTAATAACATTTTTCTTTTTACTATTTTATCCAACTGAGGAGGGCTGCGTTTTCAGCCGAAACATTTTGGTTTGTTTGTGAAATTTTAGCCTAATTACCCTCTTTTCAAATTGTTTTTTTATTGTATATCTTGTCACGGAATGCGGAGCGTCAATCATATCTCTTTTGGCTTTGTTTAACAAAAAAAGGACTTGCTATCATGATGAGGATATCAAACATCAATGTCTTGATATGGTCGCTTGATCTCCGATTCATTGATGGATTACAAAATTTTCGCTCGTTTTTCCGAATCTGGACAAAAATTTGTTGTTCCTGTAGAAATGTTTCATAGACTTCTCTCATTTCAGTCTTTTTGCTCCCTTTTTAACACGCTCCTGCTGACTAATGATCTACGGCAGGATTTTCTGTCAGCCCTGGCCTTCCGGGTCAAGCCGGAAACTCTGCTAAACTCAAACGCCGTTGAGTTTTGGGTGTCAGGTGTAAGCGCATGGTGTTTACTGTTTTTTATGTATTTTTTGTACGCAGTGATTATTCGGCGGTGCAGTACCATCGAATAAAACGTTATTCGTCGGTACAGTACCCTGACTAGAAAATCCTCTAAGTATCGCTAAGGTGCCTTTACCGGATAACATTATGACCGCTGACCAGAAAATTTCCTACCACTAAGGTGCCTTTACCAGATGACTTTTGAACTGCTGACCAGAAAACTTCCTGCCGCTTAAGTGCTTTTACCAGATGACGTTTTAACCACTAACCAGAAAATTTCCTACCGCTAAGGTGCCAACAGTAGGTTACACATCTTAGGTACATCCTGCAGGTGACATCATGATGCTAGGTACTTCAGGCCAAATGTAAATGCACTTGGATGATTCAGTGCTTCGATATTCACATAAACTCTAACTGTTCTCCGCTTGCACTTCAAACTTTCCGCAGAGAAATGCATTTAAAAAACTTACGAAAATGGCATTGCTGTTACATGCAGACAACAACCTGACAAACACAACTGATCACAGAAAAGGTGCGAAATTTTTATGGTAGCCCGAAACTACGAAGCTGGTTTCTGACGCAAGTATTGGTGGGTCATTGATTTTTACGAGTCCAAGATTTCCTTGTTTACATGATTTCTCCAGATAATACCAATAAATCACCGTAGATGGCGTTCACTTGCTCTTCCGGTGGAAGCATCTTACCAGTAAGGAATTTTCCAGTTGGCGGTTAAAAAGTCATCCAGTAAAGGCACCTTAGCGATACCTAGAGGATTTGCTGATCAGGGTACCGCACCGCCGAATAACGTATTATTCAACGGTACCATACCGCTGAACCACCACCCTTTTCTGTATTTGCTTTCTTTGAAAATAAGCTATTAGATTTTATTAAAAATAGATTAATTTCGTGATTACACTATTTTCTTGAAAATCTACAAATCAGCTTTGAATGCCTCTACTGTTAAAAAAAAACAAAACTTCAAAATATAAATGAGCTTATTCAGTAATTTTTGATTCTTGCATTTTTAAAGAAGAGACAGTGCACTCAGTTCACAGTAATTCTTCCAGATTTTTGGGAGAGATAATAGGTAACCTACCAGAAACTATAGCCACTAGTACCAAGATGGTACCTATAAACATTCCTATCATTGCAGCCACAGACTCAATCTTGCCTTGTTTCTGCCGTGATACATGGTCCATGAATTATCAAATAATTATCATTATCAATGAATTGTTTACTCTTCCTTTCGGCACTTACCATGAAAATGTTTATTTGAAGGTCAGACCAATCTGTATTTTGCAACAGAATTGAATAAAATAGAGAATGATAAGTCCTCAAAGTAGTATGAAAATGGGAATTGTAGAAAAAAAGGTTACAACCAAATTGTGCAGAAGAATATGGATTAAATTACAGAGTTGTGGTGTGGGTATTGGACACTGTAGCAAAGTTGTAAAAAGTATTGAATGTTGCCCCTTCAATCTCCGGGTTACGCAATGAAAATAATATTACTAGGAGCGGTAGCAACCCTGTCAAGCTTATAGAGATATCCAACCGAGAAAAGGGGAGCCGCTACTGTATCTTCAACTTTTGCGTTATTTTGAGATATCTCCGCGAAAACTTAACAAAACTCAAAACCCTTTCCACTTCGGCTGGCATAATTATTTCCTCACATACAGGCGAAATTTGGAGGTGATTCATTCAGCAGTTAATTAATAATCCCTATTAATTGCCGTTTTTTGGTGAAATTTTCATATCACCCGCGCCGCATCACATTCGTGCCTCGAAATTTCGCCTTCATTCAGCCATCTGTAGTAAATATAAATGTGGTCGCAACAGTTATAAAAGTCAATGCAACTCATTTTCAATAATCTAGAGGGGTGCTTTTTGACAATTTCATAAATTTAGAACATAGTTTTGAATTATTGAGACTTACGAAAGTCAAACGATTAAATTTGTTTCAATACCACCATACTGCTCGCAACTCAATTCGTGCCTCGAAATTTTACCTTCAATTGTGCATCCGTATTAAATATAAATGTGCTGCCAACAGTTATGAAAATCAATGCTACTCATTTCAAAAAGTTTAAACCAGTGCATGGGCATCATTTCTTGAATTAGAACGTACTTTTGCATTATTAAAACTGAAGAGAGTCAACTGATCAAAGTCGTTATCAAGTTCATCACCGATTTTAGGTTATATTTATAATATCAGGTATTCGTCAGAGAGTTCGCGATAAATGTAATTTACGATGATGAAGTTACAAAAGTACTGAGCCGATGATTGAAAAATAACGCATTAGGCGGCTAAATTCTTAAAAAATAAGTATGTTTTTGGCGTTTTCCGAGCCTTTCCGGTTATGGTGAGCTCGCCGCTCACTACAGAATGAAGAAAAATTCGATTTTGGGCAGATAAACGTGATCCTACGGATTTTTGGGAAGTTCAACAACTGATAATAACAGTAAGTTGCGTGGATCCCGTGCTGGATCGCAGCACTAGAAACTGCTTACATATTTTTACATTGGCTCTTATGGGAGTCCGCAGTCCTATAAAACTGGTCTCTGTCCTAAGCATGTAGCTTTAAGTCTGTCGCATCTTTTCACCCGTTCACCCCGGACCAGGAGCCACCCTTGTCCGCTACTCCGCGGCCTCGCGAACTCCCGTTAGCCTGGCATCGCCTGGCTCGGATTGTCTTCCAGCTTTCTCTCCGACACTTTTCCATCACCACCTCCTTGGCCGGTTCGGCTCCGGCGAGCAACGACTCTTGTTCAGACTCTGCTTCACACTACTTTTCACTTACAGTTAGTCTCGGGCTCACGATCTCGACCAGACTAGCGCCATCTTTTCGTACTCAATTATTGGTAGACTAGTATATACGAGGGGGCTACGTCCCCTGGTCGTTATGCGACCCAACCCCCTGAGGGCGTTCTGCGCTATCAAGGGGCTGCTTTCTTCTATTTGGCTTCTTACTAGTGTTGGTTTTTTTTCCCCCTAAAAAATTACAATATAAGGTATATTTTGCTTTTAAGAACGAAATTATTTTTGTTTGTGTTAAATAAAGAAAAAAAAATTGAAATCAAGAGGATGCATTTAACAATGATTGATTGATGAAGCATTGCAGTAAAACAACGGTAGATGGTTGACAGGTCTTAGATAATAAGCCGGGAGCAGGGAATCGAATCCACGCATAATGTCAAGGCAGAAAAATTGCATGATGTCCCTGACGACTCAGCCATCATCAAGACTGATAACGGAAATGTGAATCTTTTGTTCATTGGGTAAAGCTAATGCACAGGCTACTCGGCCACTGTGCACAGCGGTAGCAGTTGGGGATCATTCTGCCAATTCGCTCACTTTTATAACGTGATTGTAAAAAAACCTAGGAGCTATTTCCAAAATCTGATTGGAGCGGGCTCATCTAGGGACTATTAGTAGTCAATAGCCGCAAAAATTATGGAGATCGGTTCAGAAGACCGCTCAAACAAACTGTGACAAAAAATAAAAATTTATATTGTTTAAATGAGAGAATTCGCAACTTTACTATGTAATATACAAAAATCTGGGCTATATTTTCAAAATCTGAATAAAACGGGCACGTCTAGAAACAATTGCCTGTTGATAGCCACAAAAATCATGAAAATCGGCTCAGCGGAAGGCTGGAACTAAGCATTACCAGAAATGGAAGTTTAGGAGGCCTGAGAGCTTACAGTATGGATACTTTTTTTACGCATACGAGATTCGTTCGTTATTTTTCTTTGCTGATTCACCATCACCTCCAACCCAGATCAACGCAAGGCACACCACAGCGCGTTGAAGAGGGACCTCAAAATGCGTAACTTTGATCTCGTTTATCGTGGATTGTTGTTGTTAAAAAAAAAAACGGAAAAATTCCAGAGAACTATGTGCACTTTCTAGCTTTTAAAAATTCACGAATTAAACATTACTAAACAAGTTCATTCTAATAATCACCATTCAAATGCCATCAAGATACATACTAGAATAGACAACTCAAAATGCTGTAGTAAAAAGAGTGAAGTTGATAATACTAGAGAATCAAATCAATCAATCCAATAGGTGTTTCGTCCATACAGGTCATAACCATCGGTTTATTGACCATTAAACCTACAAATAGTTTTTTATTTTGATTTATTTACCAATTGTTTCAGTTTCTGACTGGAGCTGCATAACCAGATGTTCTAGTCTTTGTTTCTCATCAGATAGATCTGCTAGCTCTTTCATTTTATGCCTGAATTTTTCCTCAAGTTTCGCCATGGCTTCAACATCTTTAAAAAGAAAGAAGAGAAATTCAGTACTTTTGAGGAGAGGGTCATTATCTGTAAACATAGGGATGCAGATAAGGCTATTGAAAACTTGTACATGAGAGAAGCGAAGCTGCACGGAGGTTTGAGCTGCTGAGCAGTCACAGGGTGTACCCCCTAGTTTATTTTTATTAGATATCATCATTGATATTTCAGTGAATTTTATGTGTAAAAAATGCTTTCGCTTATTTCTCTTGGGAAAGTATCGGCCCTTCAATGAAAAGAGGAGTAAACATTCTGGATAGAGGAGGGTGAGCTGAATGAACAAGCGAAGGTACCTACAACGGTAAGGAAGGTGCAGGTAGCCAAAGACGGTCACAAGAAGGAGCTCTTCAGGTAATAAAACATGGTTGCGTAGAAGCAGAGAATAATAGCTAAAAAAAGGTAGGTATTTCTACATCTTGGACCTTTGGTTCATAATAAAGCTCTTGCATGTGTCAGGAATTTGCAATTTAAGTAAAATTTCGCGGAAAACATTTTGGTGTCACTGGTTTTCTCTGAAACGAACTCAAGAACGAAAAAAAACTCTCAAAATGAGGCTGTAATGAAGGAGATGTCCCACACTATCCTGAAGGTTCACCTCTATATCAAGTTCAACTCTCCATGCAAAGATAGGGAGTAAATACATTATCAGGGTTGCCACTTTATTTGAGGACTTTAAAACTGAAAACATGACAACCCTGCTAATGTATTTGCTCCCTATCTTTGCACAGAGAGTTTGACTAGATAGAGAGATGGACTCTCAGGATAGCAAGGGACATCCCCTCCATTCTGACTTCAACTTTGAGAGCTTTTTTTGAGCTCCATAGTTGATTTCAAAGAAAACCAATGGCACCATGGTTTTTTTTCGCGAAATTTTATGCAAGATAAAATACTTAAATGGCAAAAACACATGGAAGAGCTCCGTAGTACAATTGGGCGGCCCAAGCCCCCTAGTTCGTACTTTGTTAAGTTAGGTTAGGTTCTTCGGAAAATACACTAAGTATTGCATTCTTCCATTAAGTCGGACCCAGACCTGAGACCTTGTGAAGAGCAACGATCACGGGTCGTTAGGGTTGGATAGAAACTTTAGGGCCTGGGCGGCTGGTATGTGTGAGGGGCCCGGGGCGTCTGGGGGGGGGGGGGGGTTCGGGTGGCCCCACCCCCCGAAATTGTTTAAATCTGGGAACCTTCAGACCCCCCATTTCATCGATATTCGTGTTGAAAACTTGTGGGAAATCCTTTACTATTTTGCTGGAAACTGATGAATAATTCTGAAAAACGGTCCTAAATATTGGGTAAGTGATGGCCTAAAACTATTTTTGCTAATATACATAATAAATATCACCTGAAAGTCGAAAACGGAACAGGTTAAATGGCATAGAAACAAGGATGCAAATAATTAGCAATAAATAAAACACAAGTATAGCATGTCTTACAGACTGTGAGACTTTGCATTTTTTAATTTGACACTATCACAAATATGCACCGGGGCCTTGAACCGTATCTAACTGATGAAACTTTTATCGTATACTCCAAAACAAAAACCACACATGTTGAATGACTTACTAAGTCAACATGCGTGGTTCAAGCGAGGCTTTCATTGCATTTAGCAGAAAGGAATCATTCAACCTAGACACATTTCGGTAAAGATATGAACCAAAAATTGTGATTTAAAGTTTCCTTTTTTCCTATACTTATAAACTTTAAGCCTGTATGTATGATTCTATCAAAGGAAAGTTTAGAACTTTTGGAGGGACATAACCACTTACCATACCACAATTTTTTTGTAATAATGAGGCTTAGTTTCCTTCTGATGTATGCGGTCATCTTGATCCTCCGAGATTGCAGAAGACACGCGTTATTTGCCTCATGAACATTAAAACTTCAAAGATATTATGGGGAAAGGCCCCCCCCCCCAAAACCGGCGTGGAGCGAAGCGGAGCGTCGGTTTTTTGAAGAGCTGAAATGCCCCTCCCATGTCATTCATCATTTAGCTTAAATACACCTACGAGAAAACTGGATCTACCGCGAGGAATAAAAAAAGACCAGAGAGTCCACAATCTTTAAATTTTTTTTAGTTCCTGACCTGGCTAAAAAAAGCCGGTGATTGAAGATGCTGCAGATGAAAAAATACATGGTAATTCACTCAAAAAAAAAAAAAAAAAAAAAAAAAAAAACTTAAAGGTTTTAAAAGTACATCTTTTTAGGTTGTGATCATGCCTCACACGCCATGCCTCACGCCCGCTGCGATCATAGGATCGCCAGATGGGGCATTATCTGCAGCCTTATGTAAACACAGGTAATTCTTATCCCCAGCAGTTTCAGACATCAATTTCTTAACTTCCTCCTATCATATCAAAACGATCTACTCTTGTCATAAACCATTTTGAAAAGTAGTACTGAGCTAACATTTTTTAGGAGGTGGCTGTCTCGTTGCATACAAGATGACCAGCACGCCCATAACAGGCTTTTCTCTGGGTTGATTCAGGGAATTGACGAAGAAATTTAATCCAGACTTTATGGTCTAGAGGCCCTTCTGACTTGCCTAGAGGAGTGAATTGGAGGAAAAGAGAGAGACATCATGATTCTGAAAGATGAGGTTCCGAGCTGACTTACAAACTGGTTCCATTAAAATTCAAAAGTAAAAAGAAATTTAACTTTAAGTAATTGATACCTGAAAATTCAAAATCCACCTATCTTTTGCTGGAATAAATCCTTTTGAATAAAGGAATGGTGAATCCCTCCACAACATGCTATTTGCTGACAAAATTAAAGTTTAGTTCCCGGAGAAAGGTGGATTTCTTGGTAATTTATCTCAAGAAACCCGAATTTTAAAGTCTCAAAGCCCTCTGGAAGCTAAACAAGGGGATCATTATCTTCAAGAGGAAATTCTCATTAGGCCTGGAATTCATTTTATAGAAGATGTTTTGAGAGAAATTTTTGGAAACTTTGACAATCACAAGATAACCATCCTCTAATCTTAGAGGCAATGCCTCAAGCAGTGCCCTAGAAGTTTGAACAAGGGAAGGGGGGCCATAATTGTAAGACTCAAGATATTCATTCAAATATTTAATTTTAGGAGAGTTAGAGTTCCCAGGGGATGGTCTTGACTGTAAATGTGCTAATTTTCTGAAGTTCCTCTCAAAATGTCCTGCATGGTGAATTTAGATGAAATGAATGCAGAGGTCAAATGATTACACCTGAAGCGATTACTCCACTTAGAGAAATACCTCTTCATTAAGGCCTTGGTGGTAACTGGTTGTATCTGCAACCGTGGCAGATGCTATCGTGTGCAGCAATTCGGATCACAGCCATGCCTCCTCCAAGTTGGACTGGATTATTGAATCTCTCAGTGGTATGTCCATTTGGAAATGGCGCACACTACGAGTGATCCGCAATTGAATCACAACATAGCCAAATGACATGACTAGAACAGCATATTGACTAGCACTTTCTGTCCCAGTGGTGCTAGTCTCCACTAAGCGGTGTTGCATGGGCTCAAACCTTTTACTTTAGTTTTCAAAACTGACAATTTTCTTGAGGATTTTTTAGGAAAATGTTTTACGTGTTTCATAGAAGAAATCTTTGAATTAAGAGGGGAAGGGAAAGATAATGTATAAAAACATACCCATATGGCTTGTAGTTTCCACATCTGTTTGGCTGATAGCCTCGTTACTTTTTAAAGTATTTTCCAGCTTAGTAGAGGGCTCCTCAGAAACTTCAGTAAGATTTGTTGCACTGATTTCTAGATTATGTGAATGCTGTAAGATTTTAACACCATAAGCACTGATAAAACGGAAAAAAATATACAGAGACTATAGCAATGATGGGAAATGCTTATGATAATCTAGCTTTTCCCTTTGATAGTTGGTTAGCATTGACAGAAAGGAATCAATTCTCTTACAGTGTTATCAAAATCGTGCGACTAATCTTATCCTTTTAAAAGTACTAAATGTATGTACACGGTTCAAATTTACTCAGTTTTTTTCCTTCGTGATTATCAATTATTTGGTGGAAAAACAAAAACTACTTCCTAATCTTTGTAATTTTTAGATATTCGTGGATGAAGCTGCAGGATTTTAACAATATTGTAATCAATCAAGCAAATTGATTTTTCTGAAAAATATTCACTCATGAGCATCAAAATAAAACTTCGTATTGGGATACCTTTCAGCCATTCACTATATAACCATCACCAGTGACCTCCGAGTTGCATGATGGTGGCTGGGCGTGTGTTTCCACCTTCCTTTCATATATTTTACATTGCAATCAATGTATTTAATCAGATTTCTCCTCAATGCGATTCAATTAGGAATTTACAAGAGAGAGGGTAACTTAGGATTTGATCGATTCATGGCAGACAAAAACTGAGACGAAAATTTAAGATTGTTTTCTCTTCTTTCACCAAAAAGCTAACGTTAAGAGAAAATATTCCTCACATAAAAAAATTATCATGGCTATAAAAGGTAAAATTAAGGAGGGAGAATTCATGCCTCGCCTTACCACTGGTCAGTGGTCATGCCTAGTTACTTTAGTAAAATGCACAGCAAATTCAAATGGTTTCATCTGCCCCTTTGTATTTTTATTGGGAAAGTGTTGATCCTAAACAGCTTATTCACATTGATAATATGAAAGTAGATTTTTAAGTAAAATTAATCCGTGAATAAGTATGTCAAAAAGCCCTTGAGAATGGATTTTTATTTTAGCCATTTTAGATCATCACAGGTGTCCTAAGTTTTTGGGACTGTTGGCCCCCAACCCCCTTTGACCCCCTTCAATCGGCTATTTTCTAGAATTTTTAGGTTTACTTCCATAGCTATTTTAATTTTGGATGAAATTGAATTGAGCCAAAAATAGTTAGACTTCACATAAACAGGCTACTTTTTGTAGAAAATATTCAAAATCAGAGGATGATATTCCAAACTCTAGAGAAATTGGTGTGCCAACATAATCCCGGACGGAAAATAACATTTGATTAACGGCCATTTGTTTGCGAGGGAAAGACTAAAAACCTTGGATACCAAAACAATTTAAAAACGTTGTGTCAAAAAGTAAAATTATAAAATCCTGAGCTTGCATACACACGAAGAATAAAATTGAATATGGGCGTACATTTTCATGCACCTAATCCGGCCAGAGAGGTTGTTCGATCTGCCATTGAGACTGGGCCCAGAATGAAATCTCCTCATCTCTTCAGGTATCAAAGGGTATGGTCTGAGACACCTAAAAATGGTTGAATTTTTTCCAAATTTCTCCCTGGGGAGGGGGGGGTCATACGAAAAACAGTTTTTTGCTTATAACTTTTGAACAGTTCAATATATCGATCTGAACTTTTTTGTACAAGAAAGGTCGTAAAAAGAGTTTTCTTTTGGTATATGATGTATAAAGTATGTATGTATGTATGTATGTATAAAATGGTGTAAGTTTGGTTAATTTTTGACCAATTATAGCCTGTCAAAAATTTTTCATGAGTTCAAAAATCAGATTTTTGTAGTTTACAGCAGCGCGGATCGTATGCAGATCAACAAAAAACTGTCAACATTACAGCCCTCTCTCTCATGGTTAAAATGAGTTCAAAATCACGGGGAAACGATTAGTCTCGGAGTTATGATTTTTTAAAGTTGGCGCGGCAGGGTCTGCTTCTGCAGGGCAGCACTTCAGTGTACGGGAGTCCACTTGCACCTCTCCCTCCCGTCATGCTACATGACATTAACTGAGGGAGACTACCTGTAATGATTTTTTGAACAAATAAATACACAAAATTTAGGCTATAATGTTGTATGAGTATGATTAATATTAGATTGAAAACGTTCTATAAAATGAGGAGCTATGTACCTAGATCCGGCACTGTGGTATTACTTGCCACAAAGAATCATTTCTTTTTTTTTAAAAAAAAAAATTGTTACATCTTCTGAGCATTACGCAGGATATAAATTTTAGTAAAATTGTGTAGCCATTGACTTGGAGATACAGATATGTGCATGTGTGAATCTGCAAGATAACGTTGCAGGCCGTTCGCCGCCGGTGCGTTGTCATTTTGTATCAGTTGGCTACGTTGGAACTTTGAAAAATCATAACTCCGAGACAAATCGTTTCCCCATGATCTTGAACTCATTTTAACCATGAGAGAGAGGGCTGTAATGTTGACAGTTTTTTGTTGATCTGCATACGATCCGCGCTGCTGTAAACTACAAAAATCTGATTTTTGAACTCATGAAAAATTTTTGACAGGCTATAATTGGTCAAAAATTAACCAAACTTTTATACATCATATACCAAAAGAAAACTCTTTTTACGACCTTTCTTTTACAAAAAAGTTCAGATCGATATCTTGAACTGTTCAAAAGTTATAAGCAAAAAACTGTTTTACATATGACCCCCCCCCTCCCCAGGGAGAAATTTGGAAAAAATTCAACCATTTTTAGGTGTCTCAGACCATACCCTTTGATACCTGAAGAGATGAGGAGATTTCATTCTGGGCCCAGTCTCAATGGCAGATGGAACAACCTCTTTTGGGCAAAGGAAGTGATCAGTGTTATGAAAGAACAGATTGCAGAAATCCATGCTTCATCTCACGCTGTAGATTGTGATGCTGTTGAGAATGAATTAAAGAGTGTAATAGTTGCATTGCCTAAAGTTTCTGCGATGAATAGGACAGCTCAAAGAGCTCGCAGTGTCGCAGTAAAGCAGAAACTGCTTCTCTTAATCCTGAATATTTCCTCTAATTCCCCTTAAATATCCTAAAGAAAAATTCTTTAAGGTATAATCCAATTCTTTTTTTTTATCTTTTTTGTACCACTCACAAATGAACTTTTATTGGGCACGGGATTTGTGGTGCGGGATTTTGTCGGTAAACCGGAAAAGTTCGTAAAATTGTAGAATTTTCTGGGTTTTTTTTCTCTTTTGGAGCAATTATGGAAAGGAGCAGGATATTGAACATTTGCATTAATTATCTCCCCTCTTTCGGCATACATTCAAGTAGACACCGTCAAAATTTTATGATATTAAAGTGGCGCACCGCACCTGAAAGGCAATTTTCTAACCTCAAGATGGCCAAAATGCCGATTTTGGCACCTTTAATCTCTACTGTAGAAAAATGAAAAGAGAAACATTAAATTTGAATGTCGTATCCTTAAGTGATAATAGCTCTTTATGGCAGAATGTAGTCCAATCACTGTTACATCTTATTATTGACAAAGTGCGCCTCAGAGAGCGTATTTTCTAGCCCAGAAATGGTAGAGTTTATGAGTAAATTTAAAGGTGAGGACATTGTTTACTAGCAGGTAAGAGGTAAGATACTCCTCGAAATAGACTACGTACATTCATTCTTTCTGCAGAGTGTTTCAGGAGATCCTCATTTCTGGACTGCTCAAGCTGCAATTTTTCAGCATAGTCTTTGTTTACAGACTCTTCATGCAGTAATTTTTCCATAAGTTCTAACTTCTCATTGCTCTAAAAAATATAAACAAATAAAGATTAACAAGGAGGGAAAACGAATAGAATCTTACTTAAGGATTAAAAATTATTATGATACTGACTATTGAGGGCTCGCATGCATATTTGGATAGTTAAGCAAAATATTCTCATAGCCTACCACTAACTCTATGTGAGTAACTCTGAAGAGTGATTTGGAAGGATCCACAATGTGGACCCTTGGTGCCAATCTGATCTGTGCAAGGATGGAAGGTAAAAGAGAGAGAGATCTTTCAATGAGAAACCAGAAGAGAAAGAAAGAAAGGAACTATCCAAAGTTCAATACGAGCGAGACAAACAGACCAAGTTTCACAGTGTCTAAGCATTCCAGTGAGATGCTTCGCAAGTAATGGGTAAAGGTTAAGTAGGCGTAGGCGTACGCGCTTGAGAAAAAATCAACAGACAGATGGGGGCTGACTGGCTGCTAGATCCTCCCTCCCTCCATATAATTGACATCTCTACTATTTCCCACCATCTACACTCAGAATATTGACAGTGCCATTACTTCCACACCTAAGGTCCTTGATATTTTGAGAGGGTGGCCCGGCAGCTTGGTGATCGGCTCAAAAATGGACTGATTGTGAGTGTCTACAATCCATATGGGGTATTATCTTGAATGAAATACACTTAACATAGTAAGATTCTTCTGAGAGAATTCCTGGCATTCACTTTGCCAGAATTTTATTTCAAAATTAGAACTTAAGAAAAGTTTACCTGCCGCCCCCCCCCTCCCTCCCCAAGACCACAGAGATGAACATTTCAAAATCAGTGCATAATATCATTTTCAGGTAGTTTTTTTGAGTTTTCATCCTATTTTTGCTGTACTTTCTCCTTACATTGTACTTTTCATTTTTTGACTGTCGTAGTTATGAAAATTTTTTTTAAATTTGTTAAAGGAGATAATCGGTCAAAATTCTAAGAAATAAAAAGATAAAAAATAAAATATTTTTGAAATGTTTATTTATTTTTTTCAAGAAAAAAAGGTCTCTAATGTGCGAGGATTCAAAGAGACTAGAGTTAAAGAATCAATCATTTAAAACGAAGAGCAAGTTTAGATAGCAATAAATGGTTCCTGGTAGAGTTAGAAGAAATGAACAGCTGAAATTGCTCACCAATTTGATGAATGCATCCTGAAGTTCTTGTAGTCGCAGCTTCAAGTCGTTGTTTTGCTGAATTGCTCGTGATGCCGCCACTCGGTCGCTCTCCAATGTTATCTGAAGGTTGGTCATGTCAATTTGATCTCCTTCTAATCGCTCTAAACGAGACTCCAATGATAGCACATTTTCTGTCAGTTTATTTTTTTCCTCAGCCTAGAGGTCAAACAAGCATTTTGTCTACTATTACTGTTCCAAAATTTTGCAATGGTCAACTCTGCAAGGAATAATACAATTTTTAAATATGAAGGTCATTTTGAGAGATGATTTTAATGTTTCTTGAGAGCAAATTTTGAGTTGTCTCAACGCAGTAATTCACATTATTCTTTTCTTTTTTTCACAAAAAACGAGGGCATCCTGATACGTAAGTTTCACTATTTTTTTTTCAGTGCAAATATCAGCTAAAATGTCACTTACTGTCTCCACCGTAAGCCTAGTTGCAGCCAACATACGTCAGGTAACATTTAAAAAGCCTGATACCAAGTATGCAAATGGTGTTACACTTTTTTAGACAACTATATTTTTATCAACATAGTTTTGGTGCGATTTTACCCATGAAAAATCAACTCAGTTTCCTGACGCTCCTACTTTGGTCAAAGAAGACCCAACGTAACTGAAACAATCTTGCAAAGTCTAGAGTTGGGCCGAAATGGAATTTTCGCGTCACCGGAACCGGATATCGGTTTTTTGTATCCGGCCGGATCCGGATACCGGATAATTCAAAAAAGTATCCGGCCGGATCCGGATAGTGCTTTTTCGCGCGAAAAATGTCGCGATTTTTGAGGTTAAGTTTACTCGACTCACGATCGGTCGTAGCTAACAAAATTCGGGCCTTGAATTTCTTTCCTTATTTCTAGTGTCACAATTGCAATAGTACAAAAATCTATGGAACGCCATTAGTGTCAAAACCCTTTTCTTGCGCGCGCGGAATTTTTTCTGGCGCGCGGAAAGAAAAAACCCGTTTTCGATGAAAATCTCTGAATTTCCGGATTCCGCGCCGGTTTTCGATATATTTGAGCCGTTTGTGTCAAAACTTTTTTTGTCGGCGCGCCGCTTCAAATCTGTTCCGCGCGCGGAATTTTCTATATATCGATTCCTGCTCGCCGTTTGTGTCAAAACTATTTTTTCCGGCGCGGCGTTCCAAATCTGTTCCGCGCGCAGAATTTTCGATTTATCGATTCCCGCTCGCCGATCGTGTCAAAACTGTTTTTTGCGGCGGTGCACCAGAAAATAATTCCGCGCGCCACTTTTTCGATATATCGATTTTTCTGCGCGCGGAGAATATTATCTCTCTTTTGAACGATTTCCATTAAACCGTTGGAGGGGAAAAAGTGCAGTGTTGCCGATAATTTAAATTTATTTATTCCTGAATCCAGAAAGTTTGCTCTATTGAATTTGTTCATATTCAAATTCCCACTCATTGCTTTATTAGTTCATTTAAGTAGTAGCTGTATAAACTTTACGCTGCTTTACGTTGACCATCTTTTTCAGGTATTAGTCAATTATAAATTACTCCATTATAACTTTTTTCTATTAGGTTCATTTGTCATAGGTCCATCAGACTTAGTCATCCTGTATCTTTTTAAGTAAGGAAAGAACCCTAGAGAAACTCTAACTGTGGACCTTCATCTCTTTATCTGCAGTACGGCCTGAATGGCTAATGATAAACTATAAATTCAATGGAGCAAACTTTCAGGACTCAGGAATAAATAAATTTAAATTATCGGCAACACTGCACTTTTCCCCCTCCAACGGTTTAATGGAAATCGTTCAAAAAAGAGATAATATTTTTTTTTTTTTTTTTTTTGAGAGCTTGCGCACTCTAGGTATAGTTCATTGGCCTTAGTCGTGTAGACAAACAGCCACCGCTAAATGGTGGAAAGTTTAACATGAGATTTGGTTACTGATTATGTGGGATTCTAGTTCCTGGTATAGTTCGATTTCAGTTCTTGCTAAGATGGTTTTGGAGTCAATTATCACTTGAGGGTCCGGTATTCTCATGAGATTGTAGATATTTGTAGGTTGTTTGAATATTCTCCGCGCGCGGAAAAATCGATATATCGAAAAAGTGGCGCGCGGAATTATTTTCTGGTGCAGCGCCGCAAAAAACAGTTTTGACACGATCGGCGAGCGGGAATCGATATATCGAAAATTCTGCGCGCGGAACAGATTTGGAGCGCCGCGCCGGAAAAAATAGTTTTGACACAAACGGCGAGCAGGAATCGATACATCGAAAATTCTGCGCGCGGAACAGATTTGAAGCGGCGCGCCGACAAAAATAGTTTTGACACAAACGGCGCAAATATATCGAAAACCGGCGCGGAATCCGGAAATTCAGAGATTTTCATCGAAAACGGGTTTTTTCTTTCCGCGCGCCGGAAAAATATTCCGCGCGCCAGAAAAAATTCCGCGCGCGCAAGAAAAGGGTTTTGACACTAACGGCGTTCCATTAAAAATCATGGTTGACAAATAATATGTGTCATAAATATAGCAAGGCAGTTTCTAGCTTTTCGCAGCTGTGCTCATATGTTCAGCAGGAGGGTGTTATCAGAAGTCAGAAATGTAAACAAAACAAAAGTGGAAAACAGCTGCCAATCTGACACTTTTGAAAGCACCGCCGCACGGTGGATCGAGTCATAGGGCAGGCCGGACATGGCACATCACGCGACTTGGTTTGCTCATTTACGTAGTGTTTGCGCTCATAAAACAAATCAGGATACATGATTCTTATGTATTTTTCGTCGCAGATTTCATTTTTGATGACTATTTTCCTGATTATTGGGTTTAGATATGTATTTTGGCTCAATTTCAGATAAATAAAGAGATATTGTTTAACAACAGATAAGTTTAAACTTTCTACACTCATTTCAATCGAAGTTTTAAGTGTTCAATGGACTTTTCTCTCCGGTAAAATGTTTAAATATCGTATATAAGACGTATATTACTCATCTCTTTTACCATTCCCCCTCCTCTCTCCCAAAAAATGAATTAATAGAAATCCGAAAATGTTGAGAGGAAAACAGAGGATCTCCTTTCCCCTTCATTCCTGGGGCACCTTTTTAGCTTTCTAACAAAAGAAAATGACAAGGGGGAAAAATATGAGAGAAAAATACAAATCAAATACACATCAATCAACACAAATCATGTATTATTCGAGCCTTCCTAATTAAGGGCCCCGTGAGTCACCATTGTACACTGCCTTTATTTATACTTAGGTATCTAATGGAGCTTCTTCGGCCTAATGATTGCTGCTGAAGCTCAAATTACCTCAATTTTCTCTATTAACTTCTAATTTTCCGAAGAAATTAAACATAAAAAAAAAAAATCCGATGTCAAAAAACGCGAGTTTTTGGGAAATAGTTAGAAGATAGAAAAGAATTTAGGCCATTTTTGACTTTAGCATCAAGTAGTAGATGAAAAATGCTCCATTAGACACCAACTTGATATAATTTTCCCGTCTTTTCAGACGCAAAACAAACGGATCAGTATCATATGCGTCGATTAGGACATTTGAGAGGAAAACCCAGTTATCTGTTTCCAACGTGGACATTTTTTTAACCACGCAAGGCATGTTTTCTCATGTATTTTTGTCTCCTGGATTCGAAAATGACCTTGGTTTCTCTTTACCATGCACCAGTTTTCCGGAAAATCACATTTCTCGAAAAGTCCATTTTAAGTGGAAAATCTCAATTTCCGGAAAATCGGTGGGTGTTGGAGAAAAACCAAGGTCATTTTCGGACTCAGCACTAAAAATTACTTACAGATCACCTATCAAATGCCCGGTGTTTATTCGCCACAGACCTGTGAAATTCGAATTCTCTCGAGCCACCATTTTATGAACTTCACTTTTTCAAAATCATTTAAGCTTTGTTCCCAAAATGGCACTTTGGGGCAGCCAATTTTTCTTGATAATGAATCTTCAGGGATCAGTTAACACTGCTATACAAAGGTTTCCCTGAAATACGCTGAAATAGCTAGTTAAAAGTCTAGCTATATTCTTATTTTTACGGTATTGAGGAGGGTACTTTTAAGCAAGAATACCGCTTATAAAAATAGCGATATTTTAACTTGTTATTAGTGAAATATATTCTACTTAAGGAGGAGGACAAGCTACTTTAGTCAGAAATTGTCATAAATCTATCAGAGGGAAATACCAACAGGCAAACGGTTTGTCCCGAGTGAGGCAACATTTTTCGAGTGCCGCCTGAGCCACTTTAGGAGGCTGTGTGCGTTAAACTGGGGTTAAAAAATTGAAAACCAATACCTGTGTCATAAAATATAACTCTTTGGGAAGACATTTACATCAATGAAATGACTATTTGTGAGAATCGCCCATGTCCGACTTTTTGCAGGTTTCGATCCACCGTGCGCCGCCGCATGCCAATCCAAAGTCACGGCAAATCAAAGCCTGTCTTGAGTCTTGACGGAAAATTATTTGGTCAATTTCTGTTGATGAGAATCTCTAAATGAACGAGAGAAATGGATGTTTCAACCGATCAAAAACTTAATTGGCCTTCGTTTCGATATTACCGAAACTACGACGAATGCTGCGAAACTGCGACACTACGATGAATGCGGAGTTTTGCACCGACTAAAAACGGGGAATTATGCATATGTTGGTGGCGTTGTTGTTTGTTATTCTCTTTTCCACCTGCATCTATGAAAGTGAAACACGCGGGTCGCGGACTTAAGGAATTTACGTTGCGATCGCGTCAATTAGCAGAACATGTGCGTTATTCCGGTAATAAAGGTCGAACAATTACCATGACTGAAAGTGCGCCGAAAAGCGCGAGTGCGCGTTGGAAATATTTCAATTTAAAAGAAGGTAACGACTTGATCGCCGTGTGTACCCTTTGATTAAAATTGTTCAAGACTTAGCAGCATGTAATTCATGTTGAAAGAAAAAAAAATAAACAGAGCTGTATTGAAGGAGAAGAAAAAAAAGTCATAAGTTTCAGGAAAAAATACAGAAAATTGTATTGATAGGGAAGAAAAAAGAAAGAATATCACCAAAAATTTATCGAAATTTTCAGGGCCAAAAAAGCACTATTCGGCGGGTCCAAAAACCGGATAGCGCGATTATCCGGCCGGATCCGGATACTCGCAAAAATCGTATCCGGCCGGATAATCCGGCAATCCGGATAATCGCCGGATACCCGGCCCAACTCTATTGCAAACCATTATCAGCTTTCGTCACAAAGGATTTCAATTACTTTAATGACTTTATTCTTGCTTTTTCCTAAAAAAAAGAAAGAAAAAGAACGAACCATAAAACCATGCTTTATAACCATAAAATTATATGTAAGAATGAGAAACAACTTAATCAGCCAAAATACACATAATAAAAGAACAACTTAATTTGGGGAAAAGGCTGCAAATAAAGAAAAAGGAATAAACAAAACCCGGAACGTTTCAAAACAATAACAATTTCATTATCAACCGGAAAATAAATTAAAAACAAAAACGAGCCGTCGCTCCGCTGTAATTGCGAGACCGAGACTCGTCCGGACTCAGTCTCGGTCTCGCAATTACAGCGGAGCGACGGCTCGTTTTTGTTTTTAATTTATTTTCCGGTTGATAATGAAATTGTTATTATTTTGAAACGTTCCGGGTTTTGTTTATTCCTTTTTCTTTATTTGCAGCCTTTTCCCCAAATTAAGTTGTTCTTTTATTATATGTGAGGATAACTGATGCCATTTTGCAAGGTTCAAGCAAGTTGTCTTTTTTTACCTCTCTCACAGCAAGCTTGGTTGCCACAGACTATGGACAGGAATTTTTTTAAAACTTGCAGAAAAAGTTGTATTCAGGAGTGAATTTTAGACTATTTCACGTATTTATTTATTTTTGTGTGATGTTACCGGAACTGTATTCTCAGTTGGCCATATATCTCGTGGGCAACAAGACCTATTTTAATCACCTTTTAAATCTCTAGCTTTAATATTTTGACAGACACATCGAAACTTCCTGATCTTGAAACCTCCACATGAGAGATTTGCATTTAAAGGTTCCAACAATTGAATCGGAACGTGCGAAAACCGCTAATGTCCATTTTCCAATCTTCATTTTATTTGAGTTTTCATAATCCTTTTCTGAGTTCGTGGCAATCACGAAAGTGGTGTTAAAACTTGTCTTGCGGTTTTCTTAATCCCAAAACGAGTCCTATCATCACTTTTATGGTTGTATCAACTCTTTAAAAGTATTATGCACTAAAAAAACTGAAGACTGGAAAAATGGACATTAGCGGATTTTGCACGTCCTGATTAAATTATGACATTGGTGCTATAAGATTTCATGTCACTAAAGATTTAAGGAGCATCTTAAAATGTTGGCAGTGCTATTTTGGTTTCTTTTTCATCCTTTTTCTGTCAGAGCAGAATATATTAAAAGCCAAGTTTGCCAAGATTTGAATATTAGTTTCATGGAAAGAATTTAATGTGAAGCAGGTTCAGGAAAGATCAGAATATACCAATTGTTGCAGTTTTCCTTTCAATACTTCTTTCTCCGCTTCCAAGCTAGCAATTTTCTTCTCCTTCAATGTCAGACCACTTTCAGCATCTGGAATTGAAGGTGTGTTCCTTGCATTAAGTTCATCGATCTTAACCTGACACAAAAAAGAGACAAATATGATTTGATGCAGAATACAGGGTTATCAAAGGTTCAACCACCAGACTGCAAGAGCAGGTGCTATTGATAAAAATTAGATTTTATATTGTTACTGACCTCTGAAAGGTCGAGACTCCCCCCCCCCGCCCGCACACCCGGAAAGCCTACTTTGAACTGAGTGCTATGGGGGCATAGGTAACAAAACGAATGTCCCGTGTACACGTTGGTGAAGGCATATTGTGTCATATATCAATCTTTTCGTTCTTCAAGAGTCATGCACTCAAGCTTTGCCAAAGGTAGACTGATTTCATTGGCTCCTGGTATCCGCTCGGTCGCTGCAGTACGCCAGCGGCGCTTTGATTGGGCAAGTGCATACAGCAGTGCACCAATGGGGAGCTGCGTTAGCACGGGGAATTTAAATTTGCTCCTTTTGGTTCCCGCTGCTGCGTGAGGGTTGCTTGAATTTTATTTTGGTTTTATTTTATTTTTTGATAAATGGGAAAGATAGCTTGTCCGTTTTTGCGGGATCTTGTTGTCCCTGTGTGGGAACTTTTCATGACGATCGGTTCTGAATAATTTTGAGTTGATTTCCTTTTTGCGGAAGAAATAAAGTGGAGGTGAAGTTCTAAGCTCGCGAGGGCTGTACTAGTTTTTTTTTCTTTCCTTTTCTAGGATCTCGGATTTTTTACCGAGATTCTATTTGAAATGATGCAACTTATTTAAGTTGTTTTTATTCGCCATGGTAAGCGACGAAAGCCCGAAAAACTCTTGTGAAGAGAACCTCCAGGAAAAAAGTGAAGAGCAGAGAAAGCGTTCTAAATTCATAGTGTTATACTAAACTGTTCCTAGGTTTTCAGAACTCTTCATCGAGACCCTGTTTGAATTGATGGAATTTTATTTAAGTTGTTTCATTCGCTGTGGTGCATGACAAAACTCCGAAGGGCTCATGTAAAGGAAGATTTCAGAACAAAAAGAAGAGCGGAAAAAAGGTGTTCTAATTTCGTAGTGTTATACTATCCTTTTCCCAGGTTCTCGGAACTCTTCATCGAGACCCTGTTTATTTTGAGTTAAAATTAGTTAGAGGTGGTTTCTGTGATTTTTACTTAAAATTGCTTACAATTTTCTAAATTTTCCCGTTTTATTTTTTTCTCTACGATAATTTGAACCGGAGTTATGATTTTTTGAAAATAGGTCAAATTTGACCTTTGACCCGTTATAACTTGGTCAAAAATTAAGATATTGAGGTGCAATTTTCGCCAAAATTCTTAGTTTTTAATGCTTCTTACAACAATGTATCACAAGATAGGGGTTACCATTTAGAAGAAGAAAAAAGTTGCCCCCCCCCACCCCTTCGAGGGAGGGGCAAAAATTTTGACCCCCCTAGAAGATGGTCCCCTTAGAGATAGAAACATTTCCAAAGTTTCGTTTTTCTATCTCTAACCGTTCAAAAGTTACCGGAGGGGGGGGGGGGTTTAGGGACTTTTTCCCGAACATTTCACAACAAATCGGACTATGTTCTTCAAAATAGATAATGCCCTGTTCCCTAATAATTAGGAAAGTTTACTAAGTTTTTTCATGGTTTCAATGGCAAATCAGTAATCCTTTGATTTTATGGCAAAGAAAGGATAATTGCCTGCGTAGCAAGGAGCTTGGAAGAGCCGTCGCAAAAGCTTCGGAATTTTTGAAGCCCCTTGCTCTGTAGGCAATTTCATCACTATCCCTGCAGTAATAATTGTCTACCTAACAAGGAGCTTCGAAAATCTGGTACTTCTTCAAAGCTCTGTTGCATCGAAATAACGCTTTTCTGGAAAATGTTGTGTAGTGCTTTGTGCCCCTGATTTTTAGCGTTTTTCCTCGTGCCGTAGTCCGTTTTTACAAATATCATCTACCAAAATAGCTATCGCAATTTTGAAATTCGGGGACGCTTGTAACATCATCTTCCGAAGATGTACGTAATTGAGAACACAACAAATGAATAGCACGCTAAAATATTCCTCCCTGCACAAATTTAATAGCCATTTACGACTGAATAAGGAGGAGTTACATCAATTTGAAAGAAAAAAATGGCAACTTTGGGAGCGCATAGCTCACTTATAAAGCGTTTTCAGGCATACGTGTATGGGAAAAAAAGTCATATTTTGAGCCGAAATATCGATCCTGAAAGTTAAGTACGCTAGCTTCTGGACACCCTGTATAAAGCCAGTTTCTCACCAGGAAGCCCATTTTAGCCGCCTTCTTGAATTGCCCCCCCCCCCTTTCTATCTGAAGCTTTTTGGATTGTAAAATTCGGATTCTGCGACTAAGATCCCACCTATAATAGTTACCCGACCTATGTCGTCAATTCTTTCGTTCACAATAACTATCGTTAGATTTACGTTAGCCTATTCAAATTTTGTAATTTTGTCCACTTTGATCTCATAAAGAACTGTAAAGATTTTTGGTTAAATCGCACTTACCGTATACTTATAAACGGTAATTAACGCAAGTGCCCTACTTACGCTGTTTTCCACTAATCTGTTTTTATGAAAGTTCCATTCCTTGGTTTCCTCGGTAACCTTTGTTTGCCATCAGCTGATGTATTATTTCAATTTCTTTCTTCATTTTTCTTTTTTTTTTTTCAAATCATTGTTAGGTTAGTTCTAATTTCTTTGCCAGCATTTATTCTACCTCCCCCCAGCTCATTTTTCTAACTCCATCACCCTCTCCCTTCAACACATTTTTCTATCGATTTTATAATTTTTTTTATGGCATGTCTTGCTCCCCTACCACCATTTTTTCGGGGTTACAGATATTTTAGCGGCCTCTAGACCCGTGACTCCAGTCACGGGCATTTCGCTAGTTACTAATATAACGACACCGTGGTCGGCTTTTAAGAAACTTTAAAATTTTGGCATTTCAGCTCTTATTTGATGAATTTATCTGAAACTCAGTATCCTGGGGTTTTATGAGACAAGATAGACAAATCTGGTGAGCTTTATTCAAAATAACCAATTTTTTGCTAAAATGCCAATAGTTTGGCCACAATTTTGAAAAGGCTTCAATGAATTCAAAAAATAAGACCAGATTCCTTTTTTCCATTCCTAAGTGCCACTGGTTACCAAATTCATTGGTGAACTTCACAAATGCCAATTTTCCGCCATTTCGAAAAAATTAGCTTTTTTAAAAAAATCTCAACAAATTCGTTTTTCTAGTCTCAAAAAATCCTGGCTCCTGAGTTTTAGTGTGAAGTCTTCCTCCTCCATCCTTCTTGATTATTTTCCTTATTGTCGAGGAAAAGACATTGAAAAATCACACAAGATACCAGGTCCTATTGAATTTCACTCGAAAAAAGTTGACATCCCAAAAAATAAATTTTAGAGCCATTTGGAGTGGTTAGGGTAGGAATCAATCAAATGCAACAAACTTTCGAAGACAAGAATCTGCTGAGTAATTGAACAAAAAATCAGGTCACCTACCTGGTTATACCACCACCTTTACTGACAATAAAACTAAGAGCGGATCCAACAGAGCATTTGCAGATCAGCGGGTCAACACAAGGTCCAACACCTACCACTATTAAATCGCAGCAGACAACAGACCGTTGTCAGCTATACTCGTTTTACCCGCAAATACAGTTCGTTTTAGTTTCTTTTGGTTTTATCTTCTTATTTTATGTTCAAAAACACGGCTCTGAGCATCTAAAAAAATGCTGGAAAATTGAACACTAGAGATGAAATGACGATCAAAGACTAATACAACAACAAAGCTGATTCTTTCCTATCTAATATAGTCCAAATCTTCTTAAACAAACCTGATGCAGTTGTAGCTGCTTCTCAAGATCAGCAACATGTTGGACAAGTGATTCCTCTCGGGCCACCAACCGATCCTTTTCGTTGTTGACTCCCTCAAACCTACTTTTTAATGAGCTCAGCTCTGAGTTGAGAGACCTCACGTATGACTGGTAGTGAGCAGAGGCATTATCACGCTCTAATTCTAAAACTCGAAGAGATTGTTCCAAAGTTGCAACCTACAAAATGATGGAAACCAATGTACATTAAACCTAAATTTACAAAAAAATGAGGACAAGTCCTCACTGAGGCACTGAATATTAGCTTCATGATGATTAAAATTACTGGCATAAATAAATAGAAAAAGCATATGGTCATCAGAGGAACAATTTCTTATGAAAGTATCTACGATAATGGTCAATCTTCGATTAAATTAAATTCTGCAATTGCTTACACAGAAACAGGGGAACTCAGTTTGGCCAGTACATAGTACATTTTTTGAAACTTTTTTGTCCTCTGAGGGAAAAAATTGGACACATGTAAAAAAAATGTTCTGTGCAATTTGCTCAATACATACTCCCAAAGTCCAAAATTTAGTCCTCGCCTCACAATCTAAAAAAAAAAAAAAAAAAAAAAAAAAAAAAAAAAAAAAAAAAAACAGCCCCACATGTTCGAGCTTCCAGCTTCAAAAGTTAGACAAAGGCAAAGATCATCAAAGATATCATATTTCATAATGATGAATTGCTCTGATCTCATGACTCCAAACAAAACTTAAAATGGCCACTGTCATGTGACACAGTCAAAATAAAAAGCAAGAAAAAATACCCTTCCTTCATTAAGTGTAATTTGGAAGGCAAGTACATAAATTAAGGTGTTGGATGAGAGGCCTTTAATAAGTCGTTTTTTTTTCATTAAACAAGTTTGCTGCATGATGGTGGCCATTTTTACTTTTGCGTGTTGTAAAACCAAGGTGATACTTCGTAGTATACTTTTAGAAGCAGGAGGTCAAAATGTTGCAATTTTTTTTTTTTTTTTTCTTTTTTTTGGGCAGATCAGGACCACTGTAGGTAATTGCTTTACCAATGTGATCATCGTGATTTTAGAGTGACTTGCCATGAGTGACAACACTTTGTTTCCTCTCTTGCTGAATGTGCAACATACCCATTGCTTTCTTACTTCACTGATGTACCTTAAATTGAGGACCATGCCGGGAGAAGGGCGTATCTCGAGATGCGCCCTTTTTTCAACATTCGGCTTATCTGATTCTACGTCAAATAGTAAGAGTATCCTCCAAGTTTGAGAAAAGTCTGTCGATTCGTTACGTGAATATTTGACTAGTGAAGCACACCGAATATAGGTTCTTCTTCCGGCCAACGAACTTTCTCTCCTTATTTACACATTTTGCCTTCCGTGATATGGATTTTTACCTGTTTTCTGGTGAAAGAAGTGTCACTTCCATTTTGTTCTCATAAGAAGGAATAGTTTTAGCCGAACAGAATGATTATTTATTCATTTTTATTTACTGTACATCACAGAACGTGAAATGTGAGAGTTATGATTTATTGCACATTACATAAGTAATGTTAAAATGCAGTCCGAAGCTTTTAGTTTCGGAGTTATAAGTTTATAAACAAATTCTCGTGACTCTATGTATGTTTGATGTGAGATACAAGTACGCGATCATGAAATCTCCCAAATGGCTGCTATGATGACGCGGCGCAGCATGGAACTTCCTATATATGTATATTAGCCACCTTACACACAGGCGCGAACGTATACTTCTAGAGAATATTACAAAAAATATTGCAGAAATTTTGCAACATGGGACAAATTTTAAGTTTTTTAATCAATAAAAGTGGAAATCTGTCGCATGAACAACTACAGAATATTCAACATGGGTTTTTTATGGAAAATGATTTACCGACGAAGCGCTTTGGGGGTTGGAGCGTGAAGCGGTCAGGGGGCGTATCTTATCTAAGAGTTAATTAAATTTGGCAACATTTTAAGATCAATGAAGCTTTAACAGACAAGAGTTTACAGAATTTCCATCAGATACTCTTGAAAAATGACAAGAAAAGTTCTCTATATGGGCATTATTTTTTGGGAATGATTAAATTGACGCATTTTCCATTCTCATAAAATTGAATCATTCGGTGATGAAGGTTTGGCCATTGAAAAGTTCATTTTTACGGACAATGTATCAAATTATTAAGCAACACTCGGCTCAAAGGTAAAAGAAATTCCACAATTTAAAAAGACAACCAAAGAAAAAACAATTATAAAAAGAAACCGCTATACCATTAAGGTTCATTTCTGGTCGATTGGCATATCCTATACCGTGGAAGGGGGGGGGGCAAGAGGTAATTGAAATTAGACAAAACAGAATCCAATGGGTGCAATTCGTAACCAATTGAGTGTTTGACCACCTTTGGAGACCCCCCCCAGACTCAATAAGGTGCAACAGCGAGTTATATCAGTTTTGAAACAAAAACAATGCACTTTTCTCATGTACACGCAACCGGAAAAGTTCAGTTTTTTCCCCTAATGAACCTCCAATTCCAAAAAATTTTAGCTCGTTAGAAAGCTGAAGAAATTCTGCAGAAACAACTTCCTTTGATTTGCTTTAAATTAATTTCGTCACGAGATACAAAAGAAGGAAATCAACGTAGTAGTGAATTTAGTGTCTTCAGCAATCATAAGTGCGCCCGGAAAAAGCTGGGTTTCCTTGCAACCAGTGACCCGATCTTAAAAAACTTTGGCTCGTTAGAATACTGAAATGTATTTGCAGAAAGTCATTTTCCCGATTTTCTTCTTTTTCATTACTTTATGAGTCATCGAAAAAAAAACGATCCTCTTTTTTTATCGTACATACAAGGATTTCGAAAGTAGGGCGTATCTCTGGCTCACTTTGTCCAATGATTACAGAGGGCAGATCATTTATTTTTTTCAAACTTTTAATGGATTTCAAAGCTGTAGGATCTAGTTTAAGAGAATTGCCTTTGGTTTAACCAACTGCTGCATCTCATTTTTTGGGACACCATTTCAAATCTTCAAATGCGTTTCTCTAACAACGCTGAACCTTGTACATACGCCCTTCTTCCGGCATGGTCCTCAATTATTCTTTCGCACTGCATGATTAGATTGCAAAATATCGAGGGAAATACCCAGAAGTTTTGCCGGGCAACAAAACTGCAGACTTAAATTAGACTGTGGGACAGGAAAGTTCTGAAGATATCAATCAAATTTAAGGCTTAGAAAAAATCCTATACTCATGAAATCAATGGGAGCAATTTCTTGCAGGATTCCCAGCCAATTTTCGAAAAAATTTCTCTGATTTTTTCGAGGCTATTCAGACCAAAGTGAAATTGTACCTGACTTTTGCAGGTCAAGACTTGAGACAACTTGTGCCACAAGCGCACAGCAATTTTTTGGGAATTACTGATACTTATGTTTACGTTTTAGATCTTCTTCCTTTTTGAACCAAGAGTTTGATCTTTGCTAAAATAATAATTAGACTCAGCCTCCAGATGCTGAGACTGCTGAGAGATGCCAGCAACTAGAGATATCCAGGAACATTTGATGACAATGAGAGGCTCTGTAACATGGACAAACCTTTGCAGTGAGTGTTGCATTCATCTCTTGCAAAACCTTGAGTTCATTGTCGCAATTCTCTGCTCCATCGTTATTGCTCAGTTGTTGAACTCTTAACGTTGCAAGGGACAGAGCAGATTCAGTCTCACGACACTTTTCTTCTGCTTTGCGCAACTCTACAGATTTTGACTCCAAGCGTGCCCGTGATTCCATCAACTCATTACGTGATTCCTCTGCTGCAAGCTCAGCTTTTTGCAGACGAGACTCCAAACTGCAATTCTTGTGAGTACAATAAAAATGTAAATGGTAGAATTATACATATAGTTGCAGATAAGTATGTATTAGGGTTAGAATTTGAAATCCACTAATTCAAGAATTCCCTGGTGAGAGCTTGTTTCTACAAACCCATTTTGCCAACACTAGAACCAGCAGAAACTTTCACCATTCCATCTAGTTTTGGCAGCTCTTCCTCTATTATAACAAGGTAACTGACTTAAGGTAGTCTAATGAGAAGCAATTATCAGCTATAACCCCTTCTACTGACAAAAACTAGGCAAACAATTTATTCCTAGTACTAAAATATAAAATATTAAAAGGAAAATTTTTATTAAAAGTATGTTCTATGTTCATTTTTATCAGGTTGAATTTAGAAAATGGACTTAAATTTCTTGTGGTCCTGTTTCTGTTTGCTTTGTGAGTTGGTTCTAAAAGCAATGTTCATTTGAGGGTTTCCTCTTTTATCCGTCCACTTTTTTTTCAATGATAAAACCTGATGATGAGGGACACCCTATAATTAGCAAAACCTTAGAACCAGCAACAAAGCAGACAGAATCAGGATTGCATACTTTTACTTACTTGCATACTTTTTACTTACTATGCTTACTATGCTTTTGTTTACTTTTTACTTTACTTTATATTTTATATGTAATACAGTTGTGGAATAAAACAAATTTTTTCAATAGCACATGTCTTCATCTTTGTTAAGTTAAGGTACATACTTTATCTTTCAATCCCCTCTTATGACTTCAAGAATAAAAATTTTCGCAAATCCACTTTAAGAACTGAAAAATATACCTCAACTGTTACCTAAATCTGCCAAAAATAGAAAAGTAACAATTCGTTGGTTAAGCTGATTTTGGTTAGATTAGAAGAGATCTGTTGATGCGTAAAAACGTATTTTTTACAACTGAACCCGGCCGTTATTTGAGAACCGGAAAGACTGTAGTGTACTGAATAAGTAATTTTTCATTTGAAGAAAGTGTTTAGCGTGGATTTGCCTCTTTTCATGGTACTTTTGAAACTTCATGGAACCTCATCATGATTTCTTGTTTGATTTACTACTTTCTAAGAGGTTCTTTTGTGCATATTCCGGTTTGGAGTAAACGGTTTGCTTTCTGGAAAATTATCATTTTACTCTTACTTACTAGGTGGATGATGAGCTTTGGGTGACAACATGAACCAGACAAGCTCACCAAACTTAAGTTTGTTTGCAAAACAAAATACTCGACACGTTATTAAGTAGCCACCTGGTAGGTAGATCAACAGTTGAATGTTTGAGTTCCGAAAGTAAAAGCTTCCACCATTGCCGAGATCCCAGTGGAGGGTCTCTCTTTGTCTCTGATGGTATGTTCATACATATGAGTACGGATATACATATAAATCTGATGGTATGTTCCCCTACATACCCATATGAAGGACAGTCTGATTGGCCTCGACTGGCTGGGAATTTTTCAGGGAGGGATGAGGGGACTTGGAATCAGGGTCGGAACCCATTTACAAAGTGCAGAACATTGAGCAAGTCTCCTCTCTACAAGCGGTCTCGATTCGTTATACTGATTGACACCACTATTGGGTTGAAAACAGTACTTGTCTCAACTAGATTTTAATCCCTACTATTAAAGCTAAAGAATAAACCAATTTTCCAGACTTTTCCTTGTGTGAGATTTCAATCGTTTTCATTCAGTTTTTTCTCCCCATTCCTTTGATTTTACAAAACGAGAGTTCTAAATCATTTGGCATTATAGGTGATGGAAGTTTGAAATAATTTAGGAGAGTGTTTGTGGGCTATTCCTGAAAAAACAGAACCTTAGCAGAAAGTAGTTTAAAAATGTTTTTCTCTGTCACATATATTGATAAAAATTTAAAAAAATCACTTAACATTTCGCAGCTTGAGAAACAGCCAACACAAAATTTTTGAGCCAATGGGATCTAATTTAAAACAGATACATATTTGTATACTAAAATCAGTTGAGATTTCCAATTATTTGTCCCACCCTTCACGAAAATAGATCCAATTTCAGAGTAGCACCCTTGCTCCAACACTTCAATAACACCTTTTTATAATAGACAAATGCTTTCCTCAAATATTTTTTTGTAAAACTTGACTTGAAACTGGACTGGACTTGAATCAGAAAATGAGGGAATTTTTTACTTTCTAAAAACTTGATCAAAATTTCACAACAAGCTAATGTGCCTCTCGTCACCCCGATATTTTATTTTTAAAATGACCAATTTAGCACCAAACCAGAAATCTGCTGGGTACCTGACACTAATAATCTCGGCTCTTGGCTATAACATAGTAAAATTGCAAGCTTTTCTCACCTCTACAAAAAAAAAGATTTTTCAAAATATTGTCTGCAAGGAAAAGAAAACTACTTTTGGCATCCTTTGCCATCACAGCATTTTCATAAAAACATTCACCCGTCAAAATTGGTTGATATTGAAAAAAACTAGGCCAAATTAAAGTACTGATAGAACTTGTTCTGTTGGGTTTAGGACTATAAAGATTTATTTAAAAGAAATCGTTGAAAATTAACTTTAAAGGCTTACGAATATCCTTTTTGATGCCTACAAAGTTTCGTTAAAATCTAAGATGGTTATGAAAATTCATTGGTTGAATTGACATGAAATGACTCATGCGTCATGCTGGAATGACCCCATTTAGGTTAGGTTTTTTTGTGTTTCTCTCTGAGCAAACCTGATTGTCAGTCACTAAGAAAAACTGCCCGCAAATAGGGGATTTTTTGAAAAAGCGGTTTACAAACTACACAGATTGGGCCTTCATGAACGGATTACAGACATTTTAGATGAGCCAATTATGATTTTCATATGATTTCACCTATGCAGGGAGTTTACACTTGCCAGTATCTCTACCATGCAAGAGACCTATATTATATACGGCAATTGATGGCCTTTCTGGTTTAAAGTACGATAGTGGACAAAAAGGAGAATTTCACTAAAAATCCCTTCTGGAATCCTAAAAATACATTGATTCATAGTTCTCATGGACAATATTATACCAGCAGCACCAGAAAACAAATAATCCTCATAAAAATATCTCAGTGACCACTTCAAGATGTGTCATTACCTGAAGAGCTGTAATCATGCTTTGAGCTCGCTTTAACTCTGATTCTAATTCAGTGATACGATGTGCAGCTGCAGCTGTTTGCGTACGAAACTCTTCCTGCTTCAAATTTTGCAAAGCCAGTTCATCACGTGCAGATTCCAAATTGCGCTCTAACTCGGTTTTTTCGGAAACTAATATTTCTACTGTTTGAGCATATGTTTTGAGTTGCAATTCATATGACTCTGCAGCTTTAGAGACCTGGAAAACGGAATTATCAACACTTGATACAAAGATTTATATGAGAGACTAGCAGGTACAGAGAGACTTACCTGAGAGGACATGAATATATTTTTCAACATCGTATCAATAAAGAAAAAACTCTAATTAATGTGCAAATTTGCAACAAAGTTTCGGATCCTCCATGACTTGGTGTGATTTGCTTCAAGTTTCATGGCTTAATTTTCCCGTTTCCCTTGAGGCTTTGGCTCCATCTTTTATACAATATGCAATTCCTTCAGCGATGAACTTTAAAGGATAATATTAGATACGTATGTATTTTACTGTCACAGAGCTAAAAGGTACCTAGGTAACTCCATTTCAGCCATTTTGAGATATCAAGGGAAAACGTTTTTCAATCCCATTCTTTGCCTCGTACCTGCCTGTAAACATAATACGAAAATAAGAGACTTATGTCATCTTTAAGGGTGTTCTTTCAAATTCTAGAGGAATTGAAGGCGAACTTTGAACTAGAAATAAGATACGAAGGCCTAAATCCGAAAAGGTAGAGTTAAGTGCCTTTTGGCTCAGAGAATTCAGGGATATCCATCCACTTCTTCTGTCATCAGTGTCCTGTGGCCTGAGACAACTATCGCAGTAATATAACTATGCATAGGCCTAATTTAACCATTGCTTGAGAGAGTCGTTCAGTGGGCCAGGTTTACCCTATCTTTGGACAAGATTGACGCAGAGGACATTGATGCAAGTTTTTTTTCGTCTGTTATGTCCGTTTCTTAAAAAAACTACGCAGTAAGCCACTGTTGATCAGTTTACGTTGAAATTGGTTTTCCTAGAATAAAAAAAAGGATGAGAGAGCTTAATAGCTTCATTAAGCTTTATCGATATCATTTTGAAAATAGGTACTGCAAAACTGATATTGGTTGTGCAGATGTTCTTATTTGTATTGTGGGATGTTTAGCCTCTGAAATCTTCAGCAGTGTCACATACAAGGTGTCCAAAAATTCCTCCGCTCCCATCCCCTCTATTTTCCTAATGTAGGTAAAGATTTGAAACTTGGGGGATGTTCCTGGGTCAAATCGAGCTATTTTTTGGCCTCCCTAAGATTTCTAGGGGGCCCCTTTCGGGGAAAGGAGTAAAGTACCCCACCTTCATTCAAATCAAAACACTCCCGTTGAGATACTTTGTTCAAAGGAGCTTAAAAAAAGATTTTATACTTAAACCCGAAGTCATTATTGTTTCAAAATGACAGCTTGTTAAAGTTCAAAATGACTGAAAATTCATTGGCATTCCGGTTATTTGCCAATGGATTTGTCTGAACCTCGATATTTGGGAGTATTTTGACATGAAAAAATTCAAAACCGTTAAGCAAAGTAGCAAAATATTTGAATCAGTGAGAACGAAAACACACCAACTCGAAAAAATGAAAATAATCAAGACATACGCAAAACTGCGCAGTATTTGAAGAAGTTAGTACAAGAAAAATATTTTTGGTGCCGAAACACAAGTATTTAAGGACACTTTAAAGGTCCAATAAGTTGGAACAGCTGCGTTGACCTTTATGGAAACTGACTTTTTTCAATGAAAATTGAGCATTTTGGAGTTACTGAGTTGGTGTGTTTTTGTTCTCACTGATTCATTTAGGAATTACCTTAGAGACGAAATTTAAATGGAAACATCATATTAAACTTAAAAATAAGGAATGCAATTTTAAAACTTTTAGATTAAACTGGTTACTAGGTAAGAAGTCCTCCCTTTCTTTAGATAATAAGATTTTACCACAATTTTCAGGGGGTTGTGGCCCCCATAAAGTTGGATCGACAGGGGGCATAAGCACACCAATAAAAAGGTATTGATATCTTCTCTCATAAGACTTTTAGATCTAGGAAATCGGTTAATTTTAACGCCTAAAGTATCTGATTGAAATTTTCCACAAAAATGCCCCGTAACTCCAAGAAATGGGGGTCTAGGGAAGAAAAGGCATAGAACAAAAAGTTCTCATTTTTGGCCATAGAATTTGAATCCAAAGTCAAAGCATACCCTTCCCATTTGAGATATGCGAGAAATGGGAGGCACTCCCCTTAAACCTCCTCCCCGATGGGGGGGTTGGGAGGCGAGCTGAAATTCATTAAATTCTTTAGGGTCGATTTACCCTGGATACTTTTCGTCTCGAGGCTCAATTTTCGGCCGTTTCCGGGAAAAAGATAGTGGTGGATAGGTGCTCTGGAACACCCGGTATAATAAGATCCCACCTTTAGTTTGGTCACTTTCAAAAAATAAGTCCCACCCTACCCACTCCAGTCCTCCCCACCTCATCAACCATCACTGGTAAGAAAAAATAATCCGACTTCGATGCACAGCCAATCAAAATGAACAAGGCCTCTAATAACTCCGTTTCGAAAAAATAATTCAATGTTTGATGAAAATTTTTCTATGACGAACAGTGGATGATTCTGCCATATAATATTAAATTCGGATTCCAAAAAGATGCACACCTTGTTCTGTTTACTTTGCTGCACTTCAACGTCTCGCTGGAGTTCTCTAATTGTCGATTCTGCCTGGCACAGCGCAGCCTTAACTTCAATATTATTTGTTCGTTCTGCTTGTAGCATTAAGCCTAGCTCTTCTATTTTTTTTTCTAATTCCAAAACATCGCCATGTTCAAAGCTGTCACCGACTCCATAGCTGAAAAAATTGAAAAAAGTAAGTTCTAATTCCAAAACATTGCCATGTTCAAAGCTGTCACCGACTCTATGGCTGAAAAGATTGAAAATAGTGAGTCATAATTCAACATGGAAAATAAAATTTTGCTACCTAAACTGCTGGATTTAGTTCAATATGCATAGTCCCAAAGCAAATAGTTAAACTGTTCCTGAAATGCATGGGAGGAGAAAAACAGGGTATGATTTTTGATAATGAGAAGGATATCAACAAATAATTCCTCACAATAAGAGATTAAAAGAAAACTTTCAAGGTTAAACCCAAAAAAGAGTTTTCCTATTGAGTAGGTCAAACACCATCACTGATATAGCAAATAGTAACATGCAATTTCTTGGCAATTGTCTCAGTTTCCTTTCAAACTAAAGCTTTTAAAATGTTAACGACATGCTATTGAGATACGAGTATTCATCTTTCCCTCAAAGTATGTTATCAGCTTTCGGGAAATTCCAAAAAAACCTACTTCGGACGTGCGGTGGACTAGTTATCACAAAAATCCGGTTCCCAATTGAACTGACCTCGTTGACCATTGCCTACAACCCAAAAATGGCAAAAACCCTGTACTTTTTGATTGGAATATGCTGCTTTCAGGGCTCATTGACAGTGCCTTCAGGAGTAATTCTGGAAGGGGCAACAATCAGAGACCCGCCGCTGGAGCAAGATGGCGGCCGTTAAAGTCCGCCTGTTTGGCTCCTTTCAAAGCGCTGTCCTTTGGTTGCTATTGGTCCGATTTTGATCAACTTTTTTTTTAAATGAAAGGTAATTTCCAGGAGAACAATTTCATGTCTTCTCAATGTTTTTGTTGGACTTAAATTTTTCTTTTAAATTGAGAAATACTAAAATTTTTGGAAATTTTAAGGTCAAATAACTTTTTGACAGGTGAGAAAATGGATATTTTGCCTTCTATAACAGTAGAGCCGTAGAATTGTCTGATCTGTAATTTGATACCAAAACAATTTTTGTGCGATGATAAATTAGCTCGCGAGAGCAATTTAAGTGTTGCGCGCCGCGAGACCTGTTTTGGCGCCCTAGACGGCCGACGCGACCATTCAATGCGCTGTATTTTGGTTGCTGAGCGATCGATTTTAATCATTTTTTTTTATAAGCAGATATATTCATGAAGAATCAGCCCCTTAAACAATTTTGGCGTCAACGTGATAATTTTGCAAAATTTTCGAGGGAAACGAAAATTTTCAGATTTTCTAAAATTTTGTAATTAGATAATGCCTGGCGAGTGAATAAATTTGAGTATTGGCAACGATGGAATATACTCGGGTTCCATCCCTAGGTGTAACTAGGAGCTATGAGGAATCACTAGGCCAAATTTCAATGTTATAGCAAATTTTCTTTCATTTTGGCGGGACATGGCTTGAGAGGCTGTTTGGAGAAGTCGTCGTTTTTGAAGATAGGTCATTTTCAGTAACGACGCTTAGCGCTCAAAAGCGTATTTTCGTTGATGATCGGTCGAACCATAATGGGTGGATCATTTTTGTACTTTGTTTTGACGCAATCTTCTTTTTTCGGAACAACACCAGGACTAGGGTGGGACTTATTTTTTTAAATCGACAAAACCAAATGTTGCACGGTCTTAAATGGTTCTATGTGATAAAAAAACACGGTAGCCAAGAGGATTTTGAGAAAAAAAATTTTTAACCCGGCGCGCACAGAGCCTAAACATCGAGATTTTTCCGGTTTTTTTGGCATTTTCGCCGTATATTTTTGATATTTTTGCCAGCAACAC